TTTATAATATGAGCTACAGATACCCGACGCACTGTTGCCAGTATAGTACTAATTCCGGACCACCCTGTGTTGTCGAGTTTTGCAACTGTTGAAGTTTTTTGCAACTATGTGTAATTAAAGTGATATTTTCTGAATACTTAGCTATGTAGGCCGCGAGCCTTAAACGGTAATTTTTATGCAGAACCTGCTAGTGCAAAATAGTCTTTAGTCGCTAACAAAGTTCCCCGGCGAGTGAGGGGGTATAGGAGTTAATTAGAGCAATTTCCAAGCTTTAAAGAAGCTTCGTTAGGACCATAATCATTACTTTTACTGTTTACTTGTTAGGGCGTAAACGTCATAAACTATGTCGCTTTGTCTCGTAGAAATTCTAAGAGAAGTTCTGGCCTGTATTTACTTATTCTTAATGAACAAGTCTTAACGAAGTTATTTACAATATAATAAGAAGAATTAAGGGAGATTTGGTGTATTAGTTTTTTTTTAATTGACCAGTTTAAAACTAATTGCAATGATGGTTTGGTATATAAGTAGTAAAGCTATTATTTAGAACTTAACTTAATCAATTTCACTATTCCGAAAAAGTAGCAAAATAAGAAAATCGAAAATAAAGACATAATTTAAAATTCCGTTACAATACGGAAATGTATACCTAATAATCGTCTGATTCCATAAATATCAGCGACCCTGTATAATATAAATGTAATAACTTCGGAATTGTAAGTTTTCAGGGACTCCGTAACATTATTTAAATCCATATCGTATATCTTTCTACGAAGAAAGAAAACAGTACAGAAAAGTCCAAGATAGAACTGAATTTATCAGAAACAATCTCTATCCGAATAACGCTCAGTTCTACCTAATGAGGTGCATCTCTGATGGATCGTTTTGCGGAGCCCTGCTAATAAATATACTTTAAAAGGGAGATTTGAGAAAGGAAAGATAAAAATCGAATGAACTGTCTGAGTCGGGCCTTTCGATTTAGCTTTAGTTCGATGGGGTTGTAGGTCGATTTATTTTCGGAAATTAGGGCGAGGAATTGAAAGGATCTGCGTGGCGAGTTAATGGCTGTTCATTATTGTAATTGAGGTATCGTTAATTTTCCAGAACGGTCAGTTGAGTGTGGCCCATTATGTAATATGTCATTTCGGTTCTGATATGTCCGTATCTCCCTTATGATCTATGGAAATCCAATATATTAAATAGAGATTTAGAATTTCTCTTTCTCTTATTTAAAATTTTATTTCCTTGTAATTTGTTTGTCTTTAATGTGGAAGTTTTGCACATATTTATTATTATTTTTATTTACAAGTTTTACCATTAAAAAAATATCAATCAAAATAGAATTTTCAATTTAAATTCACAGTCATTTCACAGCATTTTTATCCCATTTTCCCAAAGATTTTCTTTAATAGATTTTACTTGTCAGTGACCATAGATAAATGAAACAAGTTTAGATTGGAAAGTGCCCATAAGGACAATGTAAACACTATTTAGCGCTACTCTTGCAATGGTCGCGACCCAAAGCTTTTGAAAATTTCGGAGCGGTTCGGCTTTATTAGGAATTATATCGCCAAATATTATTTATTCAAATTTTTTATTTACTGTTAATTTTTTAAATAAAATACAGAGTGTTGCATATAAAAAACTTTATTTTATATAAGAACATGTATGAAATACCTATGAAACATTGGAAATCTACGTTATGCCACGATCCACAATGGTTTTTGCAGTTCACAGCTTTCAGCTTCACAGCACAGCTTTTTAAGTTTTCGATGCCATTTTTTTATATTTTTCAAAATTATCACGGGTTGGAGTAAATAAAACTTAAATTACACTCACAAGAAACACTCTCAATAATTACTTTGAAAATGGACGCTATAAACACTTTTCGGAATTTTTTCAATGAGAGCGGTTTAGATTTTGAAAGATTTTATAATTTTTGAAGATTCTGACTTTGACAAGAGATATGGACAAGAGAAAATTATTTCTGTTTTTGTTTGTGGTTGTTCTTAGCAACCGCTATAGCAGCGCCAGATCGCGTACAACGGTCGCGACAAAAAAATAACTCGCGACCTAAAATGTTGAGGGGCTTACTTGTTTTATTTATCTATGGTCAGTGACAAGTGATGTGTAAAACTTTAATATCAATGACGATGTCACTCAAACGACGTATTTTATTTCAATTTATTAATTACAATGCCAGGTTATTGAACTTAAAATATAGTTTTTTAACAATACATGTTATTAAATTAACAACATAATTTGGCATTTAACATTTTGGCATACGTATAACAATACGTAAAGACGATTCGGTGACATACTGCATAATGCATTTCTAATGGTCTTTATTGATATTTCGCTATTATTCCAGTTCAAAAAAATTCTGAATATCTTTCCTAGAATCGTGGTAACATTTTTAAACAATTAACATGCGTAATTGGAACATAACCGCTAATGTGCAGTCTAGCATACTCCTATTCCATTTTATGTATTAGATATTATAAACAAAAACAACTCCTTTTAACAGGCGCGCCTCCTTTTAACAATTGAATAAGAAATATACATGCATTCTGCTGAATACAATTTGCCATTTTGTACGACACTCGTCCGTAATGAGTCTTTCTTCATAACTGTGTTGGTCATTTTTAAGAGGTTTTTCGTATTATCGTTCTCATCAGATCATTTTCTAAGTTGTTATAGCCAGTCAGTTATAATAGTTAATATATTTATTAGTACGACATATTTATTTCCAATTGTTACACGCAAATCTAGTGGGCTTAAGGTTCGTTTATCGATCTTCGTTTGAGAACGAAGATCGACAATCAAGTTTCATGTGAATTTTTTGAAAAAAAATAGCCTGAATCGGAATCTTCTTCATCCATCGTTTTTACTTCAAGCATATCTATCGACAACTGCGTGTCGGTGGTACGAAAGTACGACCATTGTACGCAGGCCACTATCTCGCCATGCGGGACTTCTGGAAATATACACACACCGGAAAAATCTAGGGATATCATTTTATTAAAGTTAAAAATAAATGTTTTGAATAAACAACCACATATTTGTAGGCCGATTCTTTCTACTTCGATTGAAACGAAGTAGTCACACTAGTTATTTCTAAATTTGGGATATTTGCAGAAGTGTTTGTGCATTTTTTGTCAAATGTATAAAAAGCACCTACCATCAATTGTTCGAATTTAACCTGTACTGGCTATGTTTTTTATGATAACTGGCCAGAATTCATTCAAATAACTCTGTTTAGTATTAAACTACATTATGGAGCGTAGACATCTTAACAGAGACGAAATGCTAAGGGCCATGGGTATGCTCGAAGCTGGAATGCGCCAAATCAACGTAGCTAGAGCATTAAATACAAGGCAAGGTGTAATATCGCGATTAAGTGCACGCTACCGTGAAAGTGGTGATGTTGCAGAAAGGCACACAGGGCGACATCGCATTACTACCCCTCAGGAAGATCATTTTTTACAATTAAATGATCGACGCCGACCGACTCTTACAGCACCAGAGCTTAGTTTAATTCTCCAGGAAACACATAATGTAACCGTTAGTCCTGACACTGTTCACAATAGATTAAGAGAGGTCAACTTAAGAAGTAGACGCCCCTGGAGAGCTCAACCCTTAACGAGAGGAAATCGAGAAGTACGATATTTGTGGGCTCAAGATCATGTTCAGTGGTCGAATGAACAATGGGCCAATGTTCTCTTCACGGATGAGTCACGCTTTGGAATTCATCCGGATTCGAAAAGACTTAGGGTATGGAGAGAACCGGGAAATCTTATTCGGTTAGATCATGTTCAGGAAGTGCACCCTTATCAAGGTGGAACAGTTATGGTCTTGGGAGGAGTCCAGTTAGGCCGAAAAACCGATCTCGTTTTTCTTGAAAGGTTTCTAACAGGAATCACATATCGTGATTTAATTCTTGAGCCTGTCCTGTTACCTATGACCTATGCTAATGATTTTGGGAGAAACTTCATTTTCATGCATGACAATGCACGGCCTCATACAGCCAGAGTGGTAAGTGAGTTTATCAATGCTCATCAATTAAACATCTTACCCTGGCCGGCACAATCTCCTGACCTCAACCTCATCGAGCACGTATGGGACGCGGTCCAAAGAAGAATTTTGGGAATGGGTATGCCTCGTGAAACTCGTAGGGATCTGGTTCGGGCCGTGAATGCAGCGTGACAGGCTGTACCTCAAGAAGAGATCGACAACCTGATCAGGAGCATGGAGAGACGATGTAGGGCTGTAATGAACAGTAGAGGAGGCCATACCCTTTATTAAGTAAAAATGGTTTTATCTTTTTTTTAATTTACAATTTAGAACATAAAAAAATGTGAGTATTTTTTTGAGTTCAATAAAAATCAAGGTAAATTTGAAAAATTCGGTAAATTTCGCATTTTTATTTCCAATACGTCCTGTAAACTATTTGTTTATTTTAATTTTATTATATCAGAAATGCAAATAATAAAATTACTGACGATGGCGGGATAAAATTATAATATCCCTAGACTTTTCCGGTGTGTGTATTAAGTACCGTAGTTTGCCGACAACTTGTTTAGGTTTCGCTGTGTTTGTCATTTTATAGAATCAACCCAAGCTCGCCCAATGATGAGGTATGATCCCTAGTAAAAATAATAACTTGAGAAAATCATTGGAAATAATATATTTATTTCCAATGAACTTCCGATACATGATCACTGAGACAATATATTTTTGCTATTATACCAATTGCACTTGGCAAGATGTTGTCAACTATCTAATAAACTTTGTCGTTACATTTCTCCGAAATGTACTTAGTTTCCCATTTAACATTTGTCCGTAATGTCCGTTGCGTTGTAATGTTTTAGTCAAATATTTTTAACAATCTAAAATTATTATTTAAAAACTTATTAAGAAGAGGAATGAAGTAAATGAAAAAATGTATTGCATTGTAACATAACATGTCAACATCTACTAAGTTTATTATTTTCTTGTTTCAGGATGTTACGGAAATCTACCTCCCATATTTACAAGAGACATGAACAATATCGTCATACCGGAAAATACGCCTGTGGGGACAATTATATACAAACTGGAAGGAACTGACCCCGAAGATGGTCCAGTCCGCTACGACCTACAGGGCACAGACGTATTGGACGTGAATCACCTGACAGGAGAAGTGACAGTTGTTAAACCTTTAGATTATGAAGTAAGGCGAAATTTGTTTTATTATTAAGTTTTGTTTTTATTGTTGGGTCTAGGTCAAATAAACCTCAAGTGTATTGTATAGGAATTGAACCAGGCTGCAAAAACCAGGCAACACGACTTCTTTACGAAAATTATATTTTTACTCAATTACTCTTTAACAATAAGCCAATCGAACCCTGCAATAATGAGATGTCTCCATATAAGAGTACATATACCGTGTGGTTCATTGGAATATGGGAAATAGAAAATCCCATGTAATTTTAAAAAGGTCAAATATTGTCTACCCAGATTGTAGCGTTTTATATAAAATCTAAAGAAATTATTTTATTTAAATTCAACCGAGGTGGCATTTTATGCAAAAGTTGTATTAGACTTTTTTGTAGAGGCGTTAAAGTTGTAATTTTGTCTAAATTTCGTTTTATTTGGAATTGAATTTAAAAGTTTAAAGCAAAAATCTACTTTCAAATTAATAAAATTTATAATACGACTTAGAACAAGCTACAATTAAAGTACCAGCCAGAGAGGTACCAGTAAAATATGATTTTGTCATTGTGAAATTCGATATCATATTATTTTCTTACAAGAATTTGAAGATACCAAATAGAGTAATTTTGTATGAAATAATAATATTTTTCCCATTCACACATTACCAACCCATTTTTATTGTTAAAAATGGTTATATTTTCAAAATAAACTTGCATTCTTACCCGTTCAGTTTCAGTATAAAAATAGAAGCAGCTTTGAAATTGTTTTTTGACGAACAAAACTACAAAAGTTATTTAACATCAGGAAAATAATGTTTTTTCTAACTTTAAAGATTATACTAAAGCATAAATTATAATTTCTTATGTTTAACTGGAGACTAATATCGATATAGTAGACCATAACACACATTACAAAATAGTATAGTAAAGAAATTACAAAATAAAAGACGTCAAAAATTATGTTAAACATTTTTCAACAGGTGATTAGTGTTCACCTATTTATATTATTTTATAATATCAGTATTAGATCTATTTGAACTTCATTGAGCGGTTTGACGGGGTTGATATATAATATTATATTAAAATGCTATCACATATATGGTTTTCAATAAAATAAAACTGCTTTATGCAGCTCTTTCGATAAAACCAGGCTGATAAAATAAAATATCGTAAAATAAACAAAGCGGTCTATTTAAAATGCAAAGCTTATTTCACTGATGGCAATAAAACCGTAAATGATGTTCAATTGTCTCTAAATGTGAATTTTAAGTGCTATATTTGAAAAACAACCGGACAATTGTCACTCCGAGGGATACTGTTAAGCTCAAAATTCAAAATAATAAACTTATAATTTGAAAACATTATCAGTAGGATAAAATAACAATTGATAATATTTATTTATTTTTTTCAGGCAAATTCAACATTAAATCTAGTGGTTAGTATAGAAGACGAAGTTAAAGGTGCTCCTAAAAATAATATCGTTGAAGAAAGAATAGCTGTTATTATTCTGGATGAAAATGATAACGCTCCAGAATTTCAAAACGTAAGTACAATGCATAATGCCGGATGCACTTCAATATTTATTTTTAACCGGTGATAGTATTTTTTTTTGAAAATTTGGATTTTTACACAAAGTCACCTGTTCCATCTTTCTAAAGCATTTTCAGCATTACAGTGTTGCCGCATCATTCGAAAAGTGGTAGCATCTTTCTTATTTTAAATGTAACATCCAGTATATTATTACATTTTTGGAAACTACTTTCATATCTCATAATTTTTCTATTATACTAACCTTACCTATTTCTAATAGTTTTTAAGATAAAAAAGTAGAACATGTGTAAATTGACTAAAACATGATCGTGAGTAAGCATTGTCTAAATAAACCGATTAGATATTACACTGGAACAGCAGAAATATTATTTATTTGCGTTTGTTATAAAATTGATCAAATCTTTGTTATTTTAAATTGAACCCTATGTATATTATTTAAAAAAAACAAAAGATTAATAAAATTGCTTTTCAAAGATATATAATGTTCCTATACCTAAACCTTCAGGTTTCTTAAATAGAGCTATTAAAAAATTAATAATTCTATTATTATAGTTTTATTTCAAGCATTTCGTTGCCATGACAATTTTAGAAATTTAGCACGTAATCTCTAATTGATACTTATAAAGTTTGAATATTTGTCATGGTAACGATTTCCTTTAAAAGAAACAATTATACATTGCCTGGAAACTTATATGGTGAAATTTTGATAAAATAATTTAGTACACACTAAAAACACGGTATGTCGCTAGTGGTAGAAAAAATAATTTTTAGAGGTTACTAGTTTATTTGGTTGCCTGTGATATGCATATACAGGGTGTTTCCTAATTAATCTAAAAAATAAAAAATCGTTAGAAAGCGAATTAAGGCGAGCTTTTAATAAGTATATTTATTTTTTTCTCGACAACCGTTTGATGAACAGGAAAAACTCAAAAGATCAATTTTGTTAAAAAAGGATGGCCAGTCAAGAAAAAAATATATTTTCTTTAAAAAGGCAGTGGTGTACCATTTATGTTAAGCAAAAAAAATCGATTTTTTTTAATTTTTAACACCCTGTAGATCAGAAAGGAAGTACTTTAGACCCAATGGTTATATAAATATTGTTTTAAGAACACATGAGGAATCACACCATAATTTTTTTAGACTAATTCAAAAACACCCTGTATATTGTCAACTTGACAATGACTGCTGATAAATCAAAAAATACCTTTTCAGTGAAAAAAGCCTGATTTTCGCAGGAAAAATTTTGATTTTTATTGAATTTGGGCCTGCGTTTGCAAATACTGGTTTGTTTTTTAACTTTCTATCTATCTAAATTTTAAATATCATAGTCAGAAATAGTTTTATTATTTATTAACTGTAAAAATGGTGTTTTCTTGTTGTGTTGCATCTTGCAAAGAAACTAACAAAACTGCAAAAATGTACGTGTTTCCAAAAGTCGATAAGGTATGTATCTTAGATAAAAGAAAAATATATGGTATGTATTCGTTGTTTGATTTTTTTTTCGTTCGCTTTAAAATCTATAAATCTCGGTCTATTCATGAGACAGACAGTCGACTTATGATCATTTACATGAAACTCTGTAAAATAAATAAAAAAATAAATTGTAAAATATATATATTCTTATGTTTTATTAAAGTTACTCTGATATACTAATATATCAGTGTAACTTCAAAAATAAATCGTTTGAATTCAAATATAAACATAAAAAACATTTACAGCAGAAAAGGCGAAGGCGCTGGGTTAAACGTAGTCTCCACTAAAAACACGGAGGGGCGCTTTGACCCAAAATTTTACTATTAAGTTTCATATCTATCTTAATAGTAGATTATTTTCTTTTATCTAATGCAATTATAATAGAATTATTATCTTTTAAATGGCTTTACTGTAGAAACCTGAAGGTTTAAGTATAGTAACATGATATATCGTTAAAAAGCAATTTATGTGGGTTTCGATTTTTTAAATAATAGACATAGACTCGAATTTAAAATAACAATCATTTGAATGATTTTATAACAATCGGAAAAAAATATTTTTTCTTACCTCCCTGTTTGATATTCAATTAGTCGATTTAGACCAAACCAAACCAAACCAAATTTCACCTTTCAATATGCCGAATGTATAATTTAACCAATGCTTATTCAAGATCATGTTTTTGTTCATTTTACACATGTTTTATTTTTTATCTCAAAAACTGTTAGAGATTGGTATAGGTTAGAATAATAGAAACATTTTGAGATATGGATGTAGTTTTGAAAAATATAATAATAGACAGGGTGTTCCATTTAAAATAACAAAGATGCTACCACTTATAGTATGAAGCGGCAACACTGTAATGCTGAAAATAATTTAGACGGATAGAGCAGGTACCTTAATGCAAAAATCCAAATTTTCAAAAAATGCTGGTTCTTCATAAACGTCTAACGTGCCGTGATCGTGAATCACCCTGTATGTACGACTACAGTTGGGGGTTGGAATAAAGGCAGTTTGATATAAAACTATGCATATCATACCTTACCATATTGTGAATAATCGCAAATTTTATGATGCCTTTTATGTTAACAGCAAAATAAAATATTAATTCACCACAATACTCCAAAACAGTTATACGTTTGCATTGGACGCGCGTTTCGCTAACTATGTTAGCATCATGAGCAAATGATTAAACTTTCAGTTTTAATCATCTAACGAAACGTGCCTCCAGTGCTAAAGTAAAAGTGTTTTGGTGTAATTGGGTAAATTAGTTATGATCGAATAAAAACGGCGTCAGCGATGGCTATGAAATGACGATCGATGACATTTCCCATATAATTTTACATATAAAATGACAGCGTATGACGACTTTATGAACGACCCTGTATACTTAAATTTATTATTCGCTAATGGATATTTAAAAATCCTATAACTTTTGTATTTAACTTTGTGTGGTACCTCCTATATTTTACCTAATAATCGACCGTTTCCATACATAAAAGCGAACCTGTATACTGTAATAACGGTTATTTTTAGTACATTCCTTGTTATTCTTACAGATACCTTACAACATCGAAGTGGACGAGGACACCGAAACGGGCACGTCAGTTTTCGAGGACATCTCGGTGATGGACAAGGATACGGCCGGCCAGAACATCGAAGTGTCCTGCATCAACATGCCGGGACACGACGACGCCTGCGACATTTTTAATATACAAGACTTGAACGCGAACGTAAGCTCGTACAAGGGAGCGATAATTCTGTACAAGAAATTGAATTACACGGAGAAGAGGGAGTACGCTTTCGCGCTCAAGGCGACGGTAAGACGGTAGCTTAAACTTAATAGGAAAATGAATGTAAATGGGGAAAATTACACTTTATTTGAATTATTGCACACTTTTACTGGGCAAAGACAAATTATAGCTTGAAATGGAGCTTGAAGGGTATATTTGTTATTAAAATTAACTTAAAGCAATATTTTATTAGATTTTCAACACTATTGAACCTCCCTTACCCCCGGTGTTTTCAGGTATAGACAGCGCGTTATAATCCGCCAGATATATTTTATTTGATGGATAGCAGAAAAAAGTGTATCTTCACCTATAGATACCAATATCTATTAGATAAAATATCCTTATCCGTCAGATATCCTATTTGGGACCTGAACTGCCAAATATCGTTTTATTTGTCGGATAAAAATTTGACACATGAGGAGATTTTGATTTAATTTAATAAAATTGCTTAACATAACCTAAGACATTGTTACTATTGTATTTCGTTTATTTCAATAAATTCGATTTTAGATTATTTCGAAAAGACTTACCTATTCTGAGTATGTAGACTATAACCATTTTAGAACGTATGAGGTATAAACACTAATAAACACATTCAAATGGTGCAAAAAGCTATTATTGCTGGTGCCGGACTTTATAAGGAGTGTTACAAAATAAAAGGAGCCTCTGTTAGAGCATCAGAATGAAGAGAATGCATTAAGTCTGGGTAATAATGATGAAATATGTACAATTACCGAGTAAAAATATAACTCAACGGCAATTTATACAAAATAAATTATTTTACTTAAATCCCTTCGATTAAAAACCATTACGTACTTAATAAAGCTCTAAAGTACGTAAAAAATAAATAAAACTTTTTAAATCAAACTATTTATTTCATTTTTAATTCTCATATCTTAATTCATTAATATTACAACAGGAACCTTAGAAAACCTGTTATTCAATTCACATTTGCTTTTATTTCTTTTGTGTTACAATTTTAATTTAATTTCTTGCACTATGTACCTTATACTTTATACATCTCTTCTTCATGCTGTTTTTTAAGTAACTTTCTAGCTAAACCTTTTTAAAACACCCCCTTTGAATACCAGTTAGTTCAACTTTTTTACTGTTAGGTTTATTAATATCAACTTTGTTTACACAATATTTTTCCTTTATTTTTTCCTGGTTTTTCTGAAGTTCCATCACTTTGAGTTCTTAAAAATAAAAGTAATATGACAAAATTGTTTTATATTTATTTTTTTTATTAAAAAATTTGTACATATGTGTTAATGTAACAATTATTATAGGTGCTCTTAATTTATTATTAATCAAGACAAAATTATATCTAAAATCATAAAAAGTACCTAAAAAAAAGTACCTACATACCTATATAAAATGTTAATGTTTATCTGTGTCGTCTCTACTGAAGTAGCGACTTGCTCTAGAAAGTTGCTTTTTACTAAAAGATAGCTAATTGGCTCTTCTAAAAACTGTCGTCGCCGGATTTTTTGTTTAATTAAAAAAAATTAATAAGTATTTTTTTCCTGATGTCGCTGTCGTGGCGGATGCGCCAGGCTTCAACTAGTACACCCATAAATGAGGAGATAAAACCTCAGTACTGGTCTTTGGGGTTATATACTTATTCTCAATCTTGTTTTTCTAAAGAAAAATAATATAAGTACATTTATCTATTTTATAAAATAAAAACTCACCTTAATTACTATCATCGATACTATCCTACCTATTTCTTTATTATGAGAAGCCCTACAACAATACATATTTGTTATTACTAACAGCCTTATGCTATTTTTTTACCAGATTGTGGTTTTAGGATTTATCTATCAATCTCGATCTGCTTGCACTTCACCAGTTTCTTCCATATTTTCTATTATCAATTTATTGTACTAAAATGTTAATATAATAAATATAACAGTGTAATATGATATAATTAAATTATAAATTAAGTACTTACACATACTTTTTTTCTTGTTTTAATTTCTTAAAAATCGCATTCCATCAACAGATTTATTTCACAACTACTGTTGAAACTAATTCCCTTTTTCCATAAAGGTAAAATTAATTAACGTATACCATAATAGAACTGGTCAGAGTTGAACACAAAATATATTTTAGTTGAATTTTATTGTTTTTATTTTCATTTTGACGATCTTTTGACAACTGAATAATAATAACCTCACTTTTTAATCTAACGATTTGAAATTCCCAGTTTTTGTCTCTGTCTGTTGTATAGACTTTTCATATATAACCATCTCAATTTGAGATATCTTATATTGGCAACACTTTCTCTAGAATAAAATAGTTGTTTTTGTAAATACCGCTGCGTTGATCCAACCATATTTTACTAATAAAACAAATTTACTTAACGGACAAAAAATTCTTAACGTCTCAAGAGGTCCTCCGCGGCGGCGGCGCCGTCGTCATCGGAAGCAAAAAGAAAACCGCAAAGAATTCAATAACACTTTAGTTTTTTAGCAGATATTCATCATTTTCAGCTTATTCAACCATTTCCGATGATGGTATAGCCTCCCTCACATACGTAGATACTCGTTGGGCCCATTGTTGTCTACTGATATCTATGCGGGCCCAAGTTATCCCTTCTAATTTCCTAATATCATAGTCTCATCTCAGGTTCGGTCTTCCTCGTAATTCCTCGTGGGTACTATATCTGTAATTTTTGTGGTCCATCTCGTCTCCATTCTTCTTGCCAGGTGTCCTGCCTATTGCCATTTGAGGGATTTGACTCTGTGGATGACATCTATTACTTGGGTCTTTTGTCGTATCCACTCTATTCTTTTACGGCCTCTCTTGGTTATTCCCAGCATATTTTGTTCCATTGAGCGTTGTGCGACTTGCAGTTTCATTAGGAAGTCCGTTTTAAGTGTCCAGGTTAGCAAATGTCTCTATTATAATCCGTTGACATTTTCTTAAAATGACGTTATATGAAGTAAAAATTTAAAATTAACCATTATTAATACCTCATAATAATTACTTAATGAGGTTGAACTAAAAAGCTTTAAACTCTCTGTATTTAATTTTTACTTAGGTTCTGTTTATTTTTGTTATGTTTATTAAAATCAAAGGAAGGAATTACCAAACATTGAAAACCTCTACAAAACTCTGAACGATACATTTATTTATATTAGGTTGAATAAAAAAAACCTCCTTTGTTTTTCGTTTCGATAATTTTTGCTTTATTAAAATCTCCTCTGTGCTCTGTTTCCATGAATGACAAATCTTAGATTTGCGAAAATGGTCCTTTTTAAATAATCTTTATGCTCTTTAATGCGAACATTTAACCGTCTAGATGTTTCACAATATAAAATGTATCACATTCACATAGTATTTTGTGTATTTTAACAGAACGTCAACAGTTCATAACAGTCGCGTCTGCCAAAAAAATAAAGTGCTCTTGAATAGTCGCATTAAGATATTTTAATTAGTTTTTCTTTGTTGTTGTATTTGTTTTCGCTTCCAACTTTCTGCTTCCAAATTGTCAAATTATATCCCTAACTAAAAAAGAGCCCATACTATCCCTAACTGAAAAAAGAGAGCGGCAGAAGATCTTATCGAAGAAATGAGATCTGGGATCTGTCAACATGCTGAATAATTTTAACTGCTGTTTTGGTGGGAACTGTACTATATTATAGGCTGACGAAATGATCTTTTATCAAATCTGAACATCTTCTTCTTCTTATTGCAATAGGGTTATCAATTTATAAAACAGCTTTTTTTTCTGGAGGTGTAAAATACCTATACGTACGGAGTGTGGGACTCAATCTCTCCTTAAGCTGCCTGGAGGACACTACCCACTAAACATCACCCCCTCGCTCCTGCCACGTCTACCTGGACCCGCTGGACGCATCTCCTCAAGTAGACGCCGGACTGTTCTTTTTGTTTCATTACCCCTGCTCTCCGCTGTATTTTGCTTCTAATATATTTTGGGCCAGTTTTGAGATGGCTTCAAAGTTTTCTCTTCTTTCTGTTACCGATTTTAAAAAGGTACCTGCTGAGATGTTACCACCAATCGTCATGCGTGCCTCACATCTTTCCTGTTCCCATCTTGGACAACCAAACATTGTGTGTTCTGGAGTATCATTAGGTTCAGCACAGTATCGGCATTCCGCGACTTCCCTCTTTCCAATTTTACAGGTAACTCCTAAAATTTCCGTGACCATTCAATATTTGAGTAAGATAGAAGTTTACCTCTCCATGCTTTCTTTTAATCCACATATTTATATTTGGGATGAGCTTATATGTCCATCTTCCTTTTTTCGATAATTTCCATTCTGCCTGCCACTGCTGCACTGAGCGCTTTCTCTCCATCTTCTTATAAAACAGCTACTTAAGCCTCTTGTGAACCGGATGTCCAACTTTCGTACCATCTTTTTGGTAGCCTACCAGGTTACGTGGTTCAACATGGTCTTTCCAATGACACCTTGATCTTCACCACTATACTATGTTTGTCTTATTCTCTCAGTTTCTCTATGATATCGTGATTTCGCATTCTATCTCTTAGGGTGACTCCGTTTATTATTCTTAATACTTTCATTTCTGTTGTTCTGTGATGGGCTGTTTTTGATGTTTCGGCTGAAGTCCCTCTAGCATAGGTAAGAACTGGTCTAAAACAAGTCTTGTATGTACCAACTTTACTTTCCCTTAACATGAATTTATTTGTCCATATGGTATCTCTTAAATAGCCAGATATTCGTGCTGATTTGTTTGCTTGTACCCTTGCTTCGTCTGAGAGATTTCTGTTACCAGAGATATTCACGCCCAGGTAATTAAATTGGGACACTTACTTCTTTCTCTATTACCGTTAATTGTGTTTTTTCCACGATATCTGCATGTTGAGAGATTCAGCTTTATTTGCTAGTCGGTAAAGGAGTCGCGGTAGGTCGTCCTCGTTTTCTGCCATCAATACTGCATCGTCTGCATAACATACAATTCCGACGGATTTCTGACCCATTTTGTATCCAATGTCCAAGAGTTTTACATCTTTGATCATCTGTTCCATAACAATATTAAAGAAACTAGGACTGAGGCTATCCCTTTGCCTCACGCCGACAGAGACTGGTATATTTTCAGAAAGATCAGATATCAGATATGTTGTTGTCTTTTAAGATTCTTATGACATCTGTCAGATAATTTCGTCAGTCTATACTATACGAAATTATCTTTTATAAAATCTGAACGTATAGTGTAAAAAGATCAAAAAATCGCAAAACAGGATGAAACCGAAAACCAAAGCAGATTTGGTATTAAGATCTGAATTGTGCGATTTGGTATGCAGATCAAATCGTTGCGTGTAGGGCCTCGTTAATGTTAACAAAACTACTTATTTTTTTATTATTTACATAATTAAACACACTATACAAATGTATCTAACATTTTCTTTAACTTTAAACTCCCCTTAAACTTAACATCATATTATGGACTGAAAATGATTTTTAAGATTTACGTTAAAAACAGCAAAAATATATTTTTCTTTATATTTTATAGGACGGAACTTTAACTACCACCACTAACGTTACCGTAAAAGTGGGAGATGTTCAAGATACGCCGCCACGATTTCTAAACAACTTGACCGCCGAAATACTGGAATCGTCTCCAATTAACACCTTGATCTTTACCGCCCAAGCTGAAGACGGCGATAGAGGAAATCCCCGTCGTATCGTTTACGAACTTGTTAACAGTGAGTAATAAAACTTGTAATCGTAAGTCCCGTCATATGCGAGATGTAAAAAATAGTATACTGAGAACTTTAGTGGGTGAAAATCAGAGCTGCAAGCTATGAAGCTTGCAGCTCTGCTTGCTTTTATAAAGATATAGTAATTTTATGCTATATTATTTTGTTTAAGGTACATGATCGAATAAACGGTTATAGTTTAATATAAAGTTTTTTTGTTCTTTTAAGCGATTAGTAAGGAATCATTTATTTCATCACTAGTTGCGGAAAAAACTAAATAAATTTTAGTAAATTTAAAACGTCAAATGATTGGGAAAAATGTCATTTAAAATAAAAAACTATAAAAAATAGATAACAGTATATTGTTTTTAGTATATAGTTTTTGATTAAAAATTATACTATTTGTGGCGAGGCTGTACGTTGGACATTAAAGGCAAGGCACAAAAAGTCATTTTAAAGCCTAGACATAAAAGTAAAGCACTTTTTACGCCTAAGCATAAAAGTAAGTAAGTACAAAATATATTAGTAAACTGACATAAAGTGTCAAATTCAATGAGCGTAACCATAGTTTCTCGATATATTATTATTTACAATGTAGAAAAAGAATGTATAGTAAACGCCACGAATGTTTGGGAGTGATTCATCGGTCGCTACCTTTGAATAAGAAGACTAAGGAAGGAGCATATCAAAAATCTTAGGTACACCGCGATGGGCCTCAAATATGGCCGACTTAAATTCCGGTTTATCAGTGTCGTTCTAATTTTATTTAAAAAATGTAAAACTATGATGTAGGGTAGACGTGGGGTAGACTCAATAATTTGTTGTTTTATTTTACGTTGTGAATAAATGTTGGTAGTTATTAAAATTGTTATAAAAATATATAATTCTAATAAAAACAATATATAAAAAATATATAATTTAGTTAATTTAAGTGAATTTCATAAATGATCGGTTTACTACACGTATGTATATTATATAGTCACTGCAAGAAAAAATATATAATTTAGTTAATTTAAGTGAATTTCATAAATGATCGGTTTACTACACGTATGTATATTATATAGTCACTTACTAGCGAAAAGTTGTTCCATTTTTCACTCAATTTTTGCCGAGATCTACCGCACGCTACACAACCAACTATTTTAGAGTCTTTTCGATAAATCGCGATAGTGTCACTGTTAATTTAAGTTCTGCCACAATTTCCATCTAGATTTACTACCTTTATACAGCTATCAGTAGTAGAATAAATAATAAATAACATAAAATAAGCTCCGTAAAGACTGACAAATCCACAAAAGTTCAAATCAAATTCAAATTTGTCAAATGAATCGTCAAACAGAACTGTCAAGGATCCCCACCCTAGAGAGCTTTTATGGTGGCTTTTCCGCCCACCATGCATGAATACATGGATAGCATTATGCTCCTTCCTTAGTCTTCTTATTCAAAGGTCGCTATCATGTGAACTAATCTGTTCAAGGTCACATAACACTTAATTCCAGTGCCGTGGTGTTTCAAGTCATATAATAATCAATACATTATCTGTTGCAATTTGTTGTTTTAACCGTCAAAGTCTTGGCAAAACATATTTTTGATTATAAATATAAAATGGAATGCCCCATTGGTCGCACTGCAAGCACACCAATGGACTGACGCACAAAAACGAATCAGTCAATGAAACGCGATATAGTATCGTCTTTGTCAATCACGCTAACATTTTAGAATAAGTAGGAGGAGCACAGGTAGATGATTAGACCGGGCCTTTAAAAAACTACGTCTGCGGTAAAATTTACGTTTTTAATGTAAAAATGATAGCGCGTGTCGATTCTAACTTCATCAAGAGATGAATCACTCCCAAACATTCGTGGCGTTTACTTTAGAATGTTTGGGAGGGGAGTTAATCACCGCGACCTGACAGATCTACTGTGTGTTTCCCTTTCTTGAGGACAGTGGCCTGTTAGAAACCCCATGACAACCCAAAGATTGTTTTTTTTTTGACACTTTGAATTTCCTGACTTACGGTCTTAAATAGTTTGGATACTGTGAATGGAAGTTCGAAACAAGGAGCCTACGCGTTGACCTGTAATTTTTAGTCGGCCGACTATTTAGTTGCAAAAGTGAAAACAATACATGCTAATTGAGCCGATACGATCGGCCGACTATTTGAATGTATGCGAGCGCGGCTTTATAAGGATATTATATTGGTTACAAATATGCAACTTAATAGTCGGCTGATTAAAAGTTTCCTGTCAGCGTATAGCCTCAGGCTACACAATGCAATCGAATATTGACCATAACTCCATAACAATGTATTGTTTTTACTTTTGCAATGAAATAGTCGGCCGACTAATAATTACATGTCAGTGAGTACCTTGATTATCTTAAAAAAACTAATAAAATGCATGCTTCAATCAGAAATATGGAATAATTACTTTTATTCAAATATGCGATAATTATTATTTTGACTAGTGTATTTAGAAATATCATCTCATGAAAAATAATTTGTGTTAATTGAGAACTATTTTTTTTTTTGGTCTCAGGTAATATAGGGTGATCTATGAAAATTAAAAAAATATATCATTTTCAGAATAACTAAGAGATTGCTATTCTGCAGAGAAAAATAAATTTCTGATAAATGTAGGTCCTAAAATGCTTAGTTTCAGAGATACAGGGTGTAGAAGTTTCATTTTTATTTCGATTTTTTCTAAATAATTTCTGAAGTAACGTCAATATTTGGATTAAAAATGGTGTCTGGGAGTTTTTTGACATGAGAAATTTGATTTTGATGTCAATATGACTCCTACTAGTAGAGGGCGCCACCTACATGTGTTTTAACCTTTGAATAAGAAGACTAAGGAAGGAGCATAATGCTATCCATGTATTCATGCATGGTGGGCGGAAAAATCGCCATAAAAGCACTCTAGGGTGGGGATCCTTGACAGTTCTGTTTAACGATTCATTTGACACATTTGAATTTGATTTGAAATTTTGTGGATTTGTCAGTCTTTACGGAGCTTATTTTATGTTATTTATTATTTATTCTACTACTGATAGTTGTATAAAGGTAGTAAATCTAGATGGAAATTGTGGCAGAACTTAAATTAACAGTGACACTATCGCGATTTATCGAAAAAGATTCTAAAATAGTTGGTTTGGTTTGGTTTGGTTTGGTTTGGTTTGGTTTGGTTCGAGATCTACCACACGCTACACTGTGGTAGATCTCGGCAAAAATTGAGTGAAATAATGGAACAGCTTTTCGCTAGTAAGTGACTATATAATATACATACGTGTAGTAAACCGATCATTTATGAAATTCACTTAAATTAACTAAATTATATATTTTTCTTGCATTTTAGCTTATAATTATTACTTGTCAAATATTAGATGTCAAAGAATTTAGATACGTTAATTTGACTTACCTGCTTCAGTAGCGTATCGGATGTTTGTGTTAATAAATACTTATTATAACTTATCTATTTTTATTAGAATTATATATTTTTATAACAATTTTAATAACTACCAACATTTATTCACAACGTAAAATAAAACAACAAATTATTGAGTCTACCCCACGTCTACCCTACATCATAGTTTTACATTTTTTAAATAAAATTAGAACGACACTGATAAACCGGAATTTAAGTCGGCCATATTTGAGGCCCATCGCGGTGTACCTAAGATTTTTGATATGCTCCTTCCTTAGTCTTCTTATTCAAAGGTTTTAACTGTTTTGAAGCGTAATAACTTTTTGTCCGTACCTGTTTAAAACTACGGAGTGAAAAAATATACATCTCTGTGACTTTCTACGTAAAAAATATCTCTTTGTAAAAATCGCTACGAGCAACCGTTCTGAAGATATTTAGAATGGAAATAGTCAACACATGTCATTGACAAAAAATAAACACGTTGAGTAGATAGTTATTTCACTGAAATAATAAATTTGAAAATTTTTATTTTTTTTAAATTAATCATACATTTTTCTGCAAAAAATGATGAAAACAGTTTCTGTTGTACTTTTGGCACAAAAATATTTCAGATTTATGATTTCTGTTTAATAACTATTTAGTCAACATGTTTAATTATAATGTCAATGATGACAGGTATTAATAATTTCGATTCCAAATATCTCGAAAACCATTATTCGTAGCGATTTTTACCAAGAGAACTTTTTTACGTAAAAAATGTCGTAAATGTATAGTTTTTTACTCAGTAGTTTTATACAGCTACGGACGAAAAGTTATTACTCTTCAAACCGGTTAAAAAATATGTAGGTGGCGCCCTCTACTAGTAGGAGCCATATTGACATCAAAATCAAATTTCTCATGTCAAGAAACTTCCGGACACCAATTTTCATTCAAATATTGACTTTACTTCAGAAATTATTTGGAAAAAATCGAAATAAAAATGAAATTTCTACACGAAAAATCTCCGAAACTAAGCATTTTAGGACATAGATTTATACGAACTTTTTTACTTATTTTTATATGCAGAATATGCTGCCGAAGTTTCCGGAATACAGTTCGGACCACCCTGTATATTGATCTATGAGAATTAAAAAAAATATATCATTTTCAGAATAACTAAGAGATTGCTATCATATCCGAACGAATTAATTTCTGATAGTAATTATATTAAGTGTAAATATTACATGAACATTTACATTCCTAGTTCAAGTTCTGGAGTTCACTGTCAGCACTTTGTCAGCACCCCTTGGTTTAATTATTTTAAAGACCCCCTTTCTTTTTATCCTCCAGATCCGATGGACTATTTCCTGCTGGACCCGATGACCGGCGAGCTCCGCACCGCCCGTCCCCTCGATAAGGAGGCGATCAAAAACCCGGACGGCGTTATCACATTCGAAATTAGGGCGCACGAACTGGTGGACGGCGTCAGAGGCAACGATCCCCTAACGGTAACCGCCGCCCTTGCCGTCGTTAAGATTCTGGACGTCAACGACGAACCGCCCCAGTTCAATAGGCGGGAATATTTTGTGGAAATACCGGAAAATATTCCCGAAGGATCGGCGCTGCCCGAATTGAATATGTCCGTGACCGATCCGGATGAGGTAATTTTTATTCAGTATTTGTATTTGGAGGAATTGAACAGGTATTTTCATAACTTTTATAGTCACAAAACGTTTTGAATTAATGAAATTTCGAATTTTCGAATACCTGTAATATCTTCACTACCGTGTGACAAAAAAAGCAGCATTAAGAGTCAATTTCGCCCTATTATTATAAAAGTAGCAAAATAAGCGTTCGACATTTACCGTATTATGTGAAACTGGCTAGGCATTTTTACACAAATGAAGAAGGAAATTAAAGACAAAGGATTATACTATATCCGTATTGTAGCACATTTTTAGACAACTTTATTTTTAAGATGCTGATGGTCAAACGTCAACAAAATATTCCTTATGTTTGGACTAAATTTTCTCGAAATTAAAGACATAATTTAAAATTCCGGTACAATACGGAAATAGATTGAAGTTTTGTGATTACAGTGATTTAAAATTTATATGGTTTTGTAACAAATTGCTCGCTATTTTATGGCAAATGTTGAAGCTCTGCAAACCTTAATTAAGTCTTAACCAAAGCACGTGTGTTTGGAATTTTGGGCGTGGCTTAACACGACAGGATCTGGCTAAGCCTTAGGCAGATTTCTGAAATATAATATATATTTCCTTCGGCCACACGCCCGCTTTATTCCTCAAACCCTGAGAGCGACTCGAACAGTAAAGCGTAATAGAGTCTTTAATTTTTTTTTAAATAACTGTGTATCACAGTTTTTCAAATTATGGCGGGAATATTAGTAATGTTTCGTGGAAATTCCGGGAAATAGTGCCGGAGCTTCGACGCTGCCCGAATTGAGTATGTCCGATGGCCGATCCGGATGAGGTAATTTTTATTCAGTACTTATACCGGATGCGTTTCAAAAGTGGTTTACCTCTATAACTTCTTTATTTTTTTTTTCGATTAAAAAAAGAGATTAGGTATGTTAGTATATGGCATAAATTATGATTAATTGACATATTCAATTGTTTTCGGTGACTTTCTCTTTACAAGAACAACATTACGTCTGGAAATATTCCCGAAGGATCGGCGCTGCCCGAATTGAATATGTCCGTGACTGATCCGGATGAGGTAATTTTTATTCGGTATTTGTATTTGGAGGAATTGAACAGGTATTTTCATAACTTTGATAGTCTCAAAACGTTCTTAAAGGAAGGAAAGGATTCGAATAATATTGAATTTTCGATTTTTCAACATTTTTAATACCGTGTTACAAAAAAACAGCATCTAAAAAAAGATAGTGTACATCATGATTTTTAATATTATGATGCGTGTCTATTGTTATATGTGTATTATGTGTATATAGGTATTTTCATAATTTTGTTAGCATCAAACGTTTTGAATTAATGAATTTTTGAATTTATATAATATCTTTACTACCGTGTGACAAAAAAAAACAGCATTAAAAATTTGTTTTTTAAGAAACTTTTTATCACTGTTTTTCATATTATGGCGGGAATATTAGTAATATTTATATGAGGTAACTCTTATTTTGTACTTGTAAAAGTGAAAAGAATTGAATAGTTATTTTTATATTTTTTTAAACTCTCGATAAGATTTTAGAGATAGTTGAGAATTAATTAATTTTTAAACAAATGCATCTCATACTTTTTAATATTATACAGTGCGTATTGACAAGGGATGATAAGTCTGATCATTTTACATTTTCAATTATTTCCACTATATAGTGACAGTAGTATATGTATATAGACATGTACTTATATGACACTGAATAGCAATACATATCATACGTCAACTTTTGACATTTTCGCTTAAAAAATCGTATTTTAATTTAAATCTAGTACCACGGCTGTGTTAAAAGCACTAATTTTTAATCAAGGACACCTGAAAAATAGATTTGATTGTTTAATGTTTTTTGTGTCTTGTCCTCGCCAGTTAAATGATACCCTAATCGTATTTTTAATCATATCTCAATTTTTTCAAATGGAACGAGGGTGCAAAACGAAAAAGCATTTTTTACGAATAATTTGGTACATCGTTCTGAACCGCAGGTCACGATTTAAAATAAACCATATCCAAAAATGTCAAAAGTTAGCATGTCATTCTCTTTGGATTGCCATTTTTTATGGAATAAAAAAAAATACCGAGGCTGCCATTTAAAAATCAAAAGTTGTAGTCATTTCCGGTGAAACAGGAAGTGACCGAAGACAATTGAATACGTCAATCAATCCATTAATTTATGCCATATGCTAACATACCAAAACTCGTTTTTTTATCTGAAAAAATAAAAAAGGTATAGGGGTGAGCCACATTTGAGACGCACCCGGTATAATGTTATCATTAATAATAGTAGTTATAATAGTTTATTCTTATAAGCCCTATTTCAAAGAACAATGAAAAGCTAATTTACAACTTTTTAATTGATCAAGCTGACAAAAGGAAATATATTGCAGACATCTAAAAAGATCTAGATACTGTTTTAGTTATAAATTATATAATAACTTATATTATATATGAAAAAACAAAACAATTAAACAAAAAGGTTTTCCTTTTTTCTATACGCACCTCTCTGCCTAACCATAGACTGCTTTTCGACAATACTCTGTTATTCAGGCAAAGGGTGATTAGGGTGATTAGTTCTTATTAGTCAGAACTCGGAATACTACACTTTTAGAATTAGAATTAGAATAAGTGGGAGGGGGGTTAATCTCTGCGACCTTAGAGATCTATTGTGTCCCCCTTTCTTGAGTTATAACTCATCATACAGTCCCAGGACTTCCTACGGAGACCCGTGTCCCTCACAGTCGAGGAGCTACGACCCAGGCCGGGTAGACGAAACGGTAGCTTGTGTGTCGCCTGTTGGGTTTAGAGGTAGGAGGTAGACTCCCGACCCTTGGAGGAGGTGGTAGCTTGTATGCCACTTGCGGAGGATGATCTCACGCAAGTGTCAGCCACCTCTCCTGTAGTTCTCTTTGGGTTGGCCCCTTGGAACTTTCATTGTTACTGTTCCCAGTGTCGCTAGGGGTTTCCCCACAGCTTCACCGGTGATGTTTTTATTACTATTATTATCAGATCTCATAGTGTTCCTATGAGTCGCTAGGGACAGTCGGTCCACTTCTACAGAGCCCCGCATGTAGAAGTAAGGGTAAAATACAATGGGGTGCCCCCGGTGCCCCCAAAGTTGAGGGCTGTCCGTGGCCCCTGCCCGGTATCGTTATATGTCGGTGCAATTCCCTGGCCACGACACTACAGTCAGAGACAAGACGATGAGTGAGATGCTTCTTAGACCGAGCCAAGTGCTGAGGGGATTCCCTCCAGCACCTCACCAGGAGCTTCCCCACCAACGACAAGGTCTTGCATCTCCTAGGGGAAGATACTATACTACACTTGCTGTCCTCCATTCGCGAATTTCAAGTTCAGGGCTTTACGCCCTGGGCTACTCAAGAACGGTTCTGAAAGGAGCTGTGCGCGATAGCCTGGTGCCTCCATATGGCGCGGAACAGTTTTGAACTTTATGACTCAATTGAATGGAGTGAGAGTATCGCGTTCTTGAACAGTTCAGGAGCTGCACAACTGCGTGAATGGAGGACAGTAACTGTGTGTGAAAATACGTTCTGACACTTCAGTTTTTATTCATTGTTCAGTCAAAATGAACACAAATAGAAACCACCCTTCAATATTACAATAAAAGCATTTAAAATACGGTCATGTTTCATTGAAAATGCTTAAACACGTATATTTTATTTTGTTTTCTACATATTTTATTTTTTTTTTTAAATGTATACAGGGTGTTTCGAAAAAATCTGGCCATTGATTCATCACGATCCTGCCTAAAGCACTTGACGTAAAAGCTGATTTTTGGAAAAAGATTGACTTTAGGGTGTAGAGGTTCGATAAGAAGGGATTTTTTCGAAACTCAATTTAAAGGTGCGTATTCATTATCCGCACGAACGAACGAACGAACGAACGAATGTTCGCTAGTGGTATGGACGAGGGACCGCACGATAGGACCGCACGAGAAGACCGGAGGCATTTGTTGGCGAACGCCTTTGATGTACCGACTCGAAACGGATGAGTCGAGCGAACGAACGAACGAACGGCCGCATGCGCTGTTCGTTCGTTCGTTCGTTCGGATAATTTTTTTATTTAAAAACCGGTGAGTTATTCGTTCAAAAACACTTAATCAGTTAAACTGTTTAGTGATATTGACCTTTACATATTTTATGATTTTTTTTTTAAATATATACATTTACATTTACAGCTGTACATACTACATACCTTAATAATTTTGCTTATTTAATTATAGGGAAACAAGCTGCCTTTTCATTGGAACTCAACGACATCTCTGGTGTAGAGGTAATCGAACCCAAACAAGCTTTCTGGATCGGCCAATGTTACGATACGTGTAGCTAATAGTTCACTGGATTACGAAGTTTGTTATAGAAGAAAAGATATCATTTTGGGCCGTTGCTAGGACATGTATACTGAATTTAGAAGCTGTCCTCAACGGCTACAATAACAGTTTCAGGTAATTATAAATCACGATTCTTATAAATCTTTGACGTAAAAAGCTTATTTTTTTGCAAACGGATTTTTCGAAAGTCAAATTCCATGTGAGAAAATTTTATTCAGTTTGTATGTTAATGGAAATTCTTGCTTTGCTTTATCATCACCGTTTTTTTTTTTATTTAAGGTATGGAAATTTGGAACAGTAAAAGCGGAATTAACCACTTTAGAACAATAGTAAAAAATAAATCTTCTTGTAAAGACTATCCGGGGACATACTGTACAATATTTTATGAAATAACACATATTACACTTTCAAATTCAAAGTATATTTTTTGTAGTAAAATCTTTGACAAAGAAATTTTATATGTGTACAGGGTGTTTCGAAAAATCTGGCCATTGATTCATCACGATCCTGCCTAAAGCGCTTGACTTAAAAAGCTGATTTTTGGAAAAAAGATTCACTTTAGGGTGTAGAGGTTCGATAAGAAGGGATTTTCGAAACTCGTAAGCGAGATGAAATTAAAATAGTTTTTACGTCAAGCAGTTTAAGCAGAATCGTGGTTAAGAAATTACCCAACTTTTTGAAACACCCTGTATGATTTTTAAAAATTTCATAATAAGTAAAAAAAAATAAATAAACTATGATTTGTCCAAGCGTTTTCCCGAAATACTAACCGTTTTTAAATAACAAATATTGTAATATTTGAGGGGCGTTTTCACCCTCTTGGAATTTGAGAGATCGAGAAACCCCTCCTTTTCGAATCTCTACACCCCACAGTCAATCCGTTTGCCAAAATCAGCTTTAAACGTCAAGCAGTTTAAGCAGGATCGTGATTAATCAATGACCAGATTTTTCGAAACACCCTCTTGGAACTATTTATTGAGTTTAATTATTTAATTTGCGTATTTGAGATAGTTATAGTTAACTTCTTTAGATTTTTTACTTGCGGCTCGATCTGTGAACTTACTAGTAAGTATCGCGAGTACGTATTTCTGTTTTAGTAATTTATAGCGTTTGTTATATAACTATTCTGAGATTTAGGATTCGATCAATTCCCTTCTTATCGAACCTGTACACCCTAGAATCAACCTGTATGCCAAAATTGAGCTTCTTACGTTGAGTGGTTTGAGCAGGATCGTGATTAATCAGTATGTCAGTCACTTAAGGATTTTATATATTAGTATAGAGCAAAATAAAAACACTATATCACCAAAATACACCAAAACACTTTTACTTTTACACTGGACGCGCGTTTCGCTAACCTTGTTAGCATCATCAGCAGATGATTATAAACACTGTTTATAATCATGTGCTGAGACATCTGCTGAGAGATCATCACCAAACCAAACCAAAACAGTGTTTATAATCATCTGCTGATGATGCTAACATGGTTAGCGAAACGCGCGTCCAGTGTAAAAGTAAAAGTGTTTTGGTGTATTGTGGTGATTTAGTGTTTTAATTTTGCTGTGTATCACCAAAGGTTCCAACCCTCAACTGTAATTAGTATAGATATTGGTTTAATTTCAGTGTTTGATGTTAACGACAACGCACCAGCATTCGATCAGGATAGTTACTCCGCGACTGTTTCTGAAATAGCATCACCGGGCACTCTGGTCATCACCATAGTGGCAAAAGATCGAGACAGTGGTAAATTCGGAGAAAATGGATTAGTATATCGCCTTGCCGGCAACGGAGCTGAACATTTCACGGTGAATAATAGAACAGGAGTGGTTACAGTAGCGCCCTGTGAAAACGTGGGACGTCCGGATTGTTTGGATTATGAATCAAAATCCGAGTATCAACTTCAATTTGTCGTAAGTACTAATTATATTTCTAGTATATTGATTAGGTTTCTTCAGTTAGCTATTGACCTGTTAAATACTTAATTTATGAACATTTTTTAAAACATCAGATAGAATATTATACAGATACCTTCAAAAACCAATGACTTTTGTTTGTATTTATTTGACGTACCTACTCCTATATCAATGTATTTGATCAAGGGAACCAATAAACTTGTTTTCGTAGTGTGTTGAGGAACGGTTATAGCTAAGTATCAAGAACTCTCACTTTTAGTTAACCATGAACGATCGGACCATTGATGTAGATTGAAGTATAGAGGCTTTCTGCATTGTTGAAATAATATCTTCAGAAATATTTTTAAACTATTCTTTAGGTGACTTGGTACTAAGCTCGTCGATGACATAATTATCGGGACCACGATTACTAAAAAAATTTACTAATTTTACCCATTTGGTTGATGAATTTCAAAAATCTCTTCTAATTCATTCTGTAGAATTTCATTCTTCTAGACCAGATAGTCATGTCAGATGGAATTTTCATACAACAAATTGTTCGACATAATTTTACACTCGAGGAAGTATTTCCTAAAATCGCTTTACGTAGCTAATTCACTAATCACTAATGTCATTTAAACGAACCTTTGTGCTAATATTTATGTATCTAAAGCTGGCGATATGAACTGACCCCTAAAATATCTAAAAACTTGATATATAATCTAACTGACACACCACTGACAATGACAAATAATTTATTTCTGGAGGTATTGTGTGTAGGTGTTTTTCAGGTATGTTTTAATATTTATTCGTTTTACATAAAGAAATAGCGATTTAACGATATAAAAATACACGATTATTATTATAATATTGTTTCATGTCCTATATTTTTTGGACTTCTCGAAGTTTTCTCTATTTTGTTATATTGTGCCACTATTACTATATACCACTACTATACAGGGTGATTCCTGTAAGTCGGTCATGCTTTCAGGGAATGATAGGGGACGTCGAAATATTAATTTTGATATAGCACACTATGTGTCGGAAATGCCTCTTACGCAAGATACAGGGTGCTAAAGTTATAGAAAAATTAAAGATATTCTTTAATAGTTTTTTAACAGTTGAAGGTATTGTTATAAAATTTCATTATAGGAGTCTGCCTAACAGAGACACTTTAAATGTAAAAAGAAGAGGTTTTAGTTTCAATCAGTGGCGTAGATGTGATACGCATCGGGTAATTTAAAAAACAAATAGTAAGCCACTGATAAAAATAAAAATTTCGGAGTTTTTTATTTACTCGGTTTATTTCCAAGAAAAAATGTTTCTTGCAACTTTCTCCTATCTAACACCATTTTGTCACAATTTAAAAATAAATAATTTTTTTAATGAGAATCTTAAATACAGCGAATTATTATAACTAGAGGGCAGAAACACATGTGCATCGTTAACTCCCTTCATCTTGGGTAACTTTGGTACTTTTTACTATTAGCTCTAAATTTTTAAAAAATTATAAATTTAAACTAGAATTTTTTTTTATTGTTAATAATAAAATTCTTAGTTTTAAGGTAGTTATAATAATTCGCATATTTAAGGTTCTCATTAAAAAAAATATTTATTTGTAAATTGTGACAAAATGGTGTTAGATAGAAGAAAGTTGCGAGAGACATTTTTTCTTGGAAATAAACGGAGTAAATAAAAAAACTCAGAAATTTTTATTTTTATCAGTGGCGTACTATTTTTTTTTAAATATTACCCGATGCGTATCACAGCTACGCCACTGATTGAAACTAAAACCTCTTCTTTTTACATTTAAAGTGTCTCTGTTAGGCAGACTCCTATAATGAAATTTTATAACAATACCTTCAACTGTTAAAAAACTATTAAAGAATATCTTTAATTTTTCTAAAACTTTAGCATCCTGTGTCTTGCGTAAGAGGCATTTCCGACCCATAGTGTGCTATATCAAAATTAATATTTCGACGTCCCCCATCATTCTCCGAAAGCATGACCGACTTACAAGAATCACCCTGTATACTATTACCACTGCGTTTTATTATTATGTTTCTTGTTACTCACTATTGTGGTTTTAGAGTATATGACTGATTAACACCAAGTCGTATGTCTCTCTATTGCATAAACTTCCTTACTATAGTTGTAGTTTTTAGGATTACAGCTTTCTGCATGTTAGTATGAATGTATGGGGGTAAATCTATTGATTGTATTCTTCTTCTTCTAGTGCAGATCCATTAATGGATGTCTGCGATACCCCTCCGGCCTTCGATCTTGCCTTCTATCAACAAATACAAGAATTGATATTTGGGGTTTCGCATTATGTGCCCCAGGTATGCGGTCTTTTTCTTTTTAATCAATTCAATTAATTCACGCTCTTTGTCAACGCGTCTGAGAACTTCCTCATTTGTCAATCTAGCCGTCCAAGGTATCTTCAGGATTATGCGATATAGCGACATCTCAAAAGCCTCCAATTTGTTTGCAAGCCTACAAATTGATAGTATATGTTGAGAAAATGCTTTTGTAGCTTCTGTTACTGTTATAACTATAGGTATAATTGTTACTTTATTTTGTTTCCACATTTTCTGAATTCCTATAGCAAGTGGTGTGTATTTATTATTTATTGTGTCAGGCCTATGTACTGTTGTTGTATTTATTATTTATTGTGTCAGGCCTATGTTGTGCCTGTCCCAGTACAGTTTATGTGTTTCATTTTCCATTACGCTTTCGGGAGTGTATTTAGAGTATTGCAACCTTGTTGTCATTAAGCTGTACTTGAGTGCCAGTTCTTGTTGGATTATTTTTGCTACCGTGTTATGTCGATAGGTATAAATTTAAAAAAAAAAGAATTTATTCTGCGTATGTAGGCAACCGACGATGATGGCAAAGGGCAAACCTCTACCGTGCCCCTCAAGATCACGCTCATCGACAGCAACGACAACGCTCCGGTGTTCGGCCAGTCGACGTACATGGTGTTCGTTGACGAGGGTGCCACGCGGTTCAGTACCGACCTAGTCATCCAGGCGATTGACGCGGACAAGACATCGCACGTCACATACTCCATAATAGCCGGAAACGATGAGAAACTGTTCAAAATCGATCCAGAATCGGGGAAATTGAGGATAGCAAATGGGAAAGGATTGGATGTTAGTAACGGGACGGATAACCTTATTTCCCTTACTGTGCTGGTAAGTAAAAACCGATACTTGGTTTATTGAAAAATATTGGAAATTTTTGGTTGGGTCATTAATAGGTAGATATAGCAAACGCCACGAATGTTTGGGAGTGATTCATCGCTTGGTGAAGTTAGAATCGATACGCGCGCTTTCATTTTTACATTAAAAACGTAAATTTTTACCGCAGACGTAGGTTTTTAAAGGCCCGGTCTAATCATCTACCTGCGCTCCTCCTACTTATTCTAAAATGTTAGCGTGATTGACAAAGACGATACTATATCGCGTTTCTTTGATTGATTCGTTTTTGTGCGTCAGTCCATTGGTGTGCTTGCAGTGCGACCAATGGGGCATTCCGTTTTATATTTATAACCAAATATATGTTTTGACAAGACTTTGACAGTTAAAACAACAAATTACAACATATTATATATTGATTATTATATGACTTGAAAGACCACGGCACTGGAATTAAGTTTTATGTGACCTTGAACAGATTAGTTAACATGGTAGCGACCGATGAATCACTCCCAAACATTCGTGGCGTTTACTATAGATATATTTATTCCTTAGATTTATTCATATTTAGATTATACAATAAGACAGTAATATTCTTCGTCAAGTGTCATGTTCCTAGTAAACGTTGACGATTGTCATGTTAACAATATTTCTATACCGCTCTCGATCTTGCGCTACATGGAGTAATTCATCCGCGCTCAAGCCTGTCCATTGCATTAAAGATTATAAATATATACCTACTATACGATCGAAAAAAAAACGGTCTCAAGGATAATTTCGGCGAGGTCAAGCCCTAGATATAATTTTTTTGGCCCGTACTCTTCTTTACTGGCCTTAAAAAAATTGTAATTTATTTTTATATTGAGTAAAAATGATTTTTAAGTGGTATTAATTTAGTTTAAAATTCGAGAAAAAATAATTTTTTGAAAATAGATTTGTGTCTGGAAACATTCTATCCTTTTTTAATCTCTCCTTTGAATAAGAAGACTAAGGAAGGAGCACATCAAAAATCTTAGGTACACCGCGATGGGCCTCAAATATGGCCGACTTAAATTCCGGTTTATCAGTGTCGTTCTAATTTTATTTAAAAAATGTAAAACTATGATGTAGGATAGACGTGGGGTAGGCTCAATAATTTGTTGTTTTATTTTACGTTGTGAACAAATGTTGGTAGTTATTAAAATTGTCATAAAAATATATAATTCTAATTAAAATAGATAAGTTATAATAAGTATTTATTAACACAAACATCCGATACGCTACTGAAGCAGTTAAGTCAAATTAACGTATCTAAATTCTTTGACATCTAATCCATGACAAGTAATAAATAAAAGCTAAAATGCAAGAAAAATATATAATTTAGTTAATTTAAGTGAATTTCATAAATGATCGGTTTACTACACGTATGTATATTATATAGTCACTTACTAACGAAAAGTTGTTCAATTATTTCACTCAATTTTTGCCGAGATCTACCGCACGCTACACAACCAAATATTTTAGAGTCTTTTTCGATAAATCGCGATAGTGTCACTGTTAATTTAAGTTCTGCCACAATTTCCATCTAGATTTACTACCTTTATACAACTATCAGTAGTAGAATAAATAACATAAAATAAGCTCCATAAAGACTGGCAAATCCACAAAATTTCAAATCAAATTCAAATGTGTCAAATGAATCGACAAACAGAACTGTCAAGGATCCCCACCCTAGAGTGCTTTTTCCGCCCACCATGCATGAATACATGGATAGCATTATGCTCCTTCCTTAGTCTTCTTATTCAAAGAATCTCTCTATAATTAGTATTAATTTTTGACAACTCTTATATCAATTTTTAATAAATGACGTCTAGAGATTTACCTCTCCAAAATTATGATCTCTATCTATTGTCAATCCCCCAGCTGTCTTTGACACCGTTTCTTTTTCGATCGTACGGTTTATAACAGTAAAGTAGTATTAATTAGCATTAGTATCATTAAGTTTTAGAAGACAATGTGTTATATACACTAGTTTAATTTTTCTTTTTTATTATTTAATTTACTTTTTCATTTGTTGATTGCAGGCTAGTGACGGAAAGTTTACTGCAACTACGGCTGTGAATATTACAGTTATGGACATTAATAATAATGCACCGATATTCTTAAAAGAAAGCTATTTAGAAGCTGTTCCAGAAGATGTTGCAATTGGTAAGTTTATCGTATTGAATTATAATTTTAATGACTTGCCTTCCTTAAATAAAATAATATTACACATAAAAATCCACGGTTTACTATAAAAATTTTATCGTTCAAACCTTTGGCAAGAGAAATAATTGAAAATAATATACTTTCAATAAAAATATACTTTTATATGTTACACTGGTGATACGATTATACTTTATATATTTTAGCTAATATAGGACATCAAAACTTCAGTTTTCAGTGCTGTCAAAAATCTTGACACTTAATAATAATACTAGCTCCCGTATACCGGGTGGTTCGTCTCAAAAGTGGCCCAATCTTTTAACTTTTTTATGTTTTTCAGATAAAAAAACGAGATTTATGGTATGTTAGTATATGACATGAATTAGGATTGATTGACGTATTCAATTCTTTTCAGCCACTCCCTGTTTCACTGGGGATGACTACAACTTTTTAAAAACTACAATTTTTAAATGGCATCCTCGGAATTTTTTTACTTTATTTAATGGAAAATGGCACTTTGAATAGAATTTTCACTTACAACAAAATTGTATTTTAAAGTTCAATCTATAGTGGCATGGCTGCATTAAAAACACTAATTTTTAATCAAGGAACCTTGGAATAATAATTTTGATCGTCGAATGTTTTTAGTGTCTTGTCCTGGCCAAATTAAAGATGCTCAAATCGTATTTTTAATCATATCTCAATCTTTTCAACTGGAACGAGGATGGCTCATTAGCATTTTTTACGAATAATTTAACTTAACTTATAACTCATTTAATTACTTGGTTATTTCATAACCACAATTTAAAAACCACACACTTGGTATTTCGAGACAAGTTCTCGTTATGAATCGCATGTTGTAATTTCAAATATGTAAACCATATTCGAAAATGTCAAAAGTTGACATATGATGTCATTCTATTCAGAGTGTCATTTTCTATCGACTAAAGTAAAAAAATACCGGGGGTGCTATTTAAAAATCAAAAGTCGTAGTCATTTCCGCTTAAACAGGAAGTGGCCGAAAACAATTGAATACGTGAATCAATCCTAATTTATGTCATATACTAACATACTAAATCACGATTTTTATCTAAAAAGATAATAAAAAAGTTATAGGGGTGAGCCAATTTTGAGACGCACCCGGTATAACGTAGGAGTAGCAAGGTACAGCTTGCCATACTAGAGTCTAAGGAAAGTAATTTGGCTAGCACTACGCTTTAACCGTCTATTATTACCTCAGGATTGTGAACCCAGTATACAGAGAAGACCAGGCTACTAGTAACATAGCAAGTTGCCGGACGAATTTACGTTTACCCGATTTGCGTTCGTACTCGAGATTTACTGCCGGCTAGTCGGCTGGTCAGTGGTCAGGCAGTACGCAGTTGCAGTTGTGCTTGGCGAGGAGTGCCGAGTATTTATTATTTTCATTTTAAGTGTTGTAATTACCTTCAATTAAGGTAACATTTAAAATAAAAATACTTAAATATTTATTATTTGAGTGTGTTTACAAGCCAAAACTAAAAATAAATAAATTCTCTAAACCCCAAAAAAAACTAAAATATTACTCTAAATAAAAAAGTTATAACAAGTGTTCAAAAAGACCATCTTCTTGTGCTAGACAGAAGCCTAGGCGGTCGTAAAATCCCCGTCTGATTGGCTAACATATTAGGGCTAATAGTTTGGAAAGCCTCTCGTATTTTTACTTGAAGCTCATCCAGATGATTAGCCCTTTTATGACCATACACTTTGGATTTTACATAACCCCACAAAAAGAAATCATTGGGAGAAAGATCTGGTGATCTAGCGGGGCACAAAATAGTTCCATGTCCACTAATTAAACGGTTGGGATTGTTCAAATATTCTTGAACAATACGGGCATTGTGGGCAGGGCAACCACCTCAGCAATTTGATTACTTGAAAACGTGGGATTTTGATCCGCCGTAGCACAAATGAACACTTGCTTTAACTCCTGTTCTTCATTAATCAACACATCAGGCTTTTTGTGTTTTTTTTTGGGGACACGCACCCATGTGTTTCAAAATTATTAATAACTCTTGATATAGTAGTATGTAATGATGGAATTGGCCTGTTTACAAAAGTTAGTGGAAAATTGTTTGTATATCTCGATATGACCTATTTTGGAAATACTATTTCACAATTTGAATTTTCTCACGAACTTCGTAAACATCCATTATTTTACTTAAAAAATAAATTTTATACGAGAACTGTCGCGAGAATCTATGTATTCGTTTTGGCTATTAAAACACGAATAAATACAAATTCTGAAACATTCTTATCACATATCTACCTATTTTTATTTCATCGCATTTTTTCGCCTGCTTTTTATCCGGCGGACGGGTATACGCTAATTCGTCCGGTTCTGTCTATGTTACTACTACGGTGGTCCGGTCTGTATATTTAAGGCTGAGTAGTCTTAGGTACCCAAATTATTTTTAATTTATTAAAAATAGGCGGTTGATAAACTGCAGGGTTCTAACCAACAACCTTTAGATTGGTAGACGAGAGCTGTACCTCTGCGCCACCGGCTCTATATCTTGGCACTGACCAAGTCCAATTATTTTAAAAGCACACTCTATACATTCTAGATATTATAGATTTAATTTCTATACAGGTACAACGCTATTGAAAACCGAAGCCACAGATGCAGACACTGGAGTCAACGCAGAAATAGAATACGTTTTGTCTAAAGGGGCCTACGACGATTTCGCTATAGATAGTTACTCGGGAGTAGTTTCTGTCGCGTCGAAATTGGACTACGACCGAAGAAACACGTACAATATCGAAATCCTGGCGGTAGATCGTGGGGAACCGGCCTTAACCGGTACGGCTAGTTTGACGGTGAAAATCATCAACACGAACGATAAGCTGCCGTATTTTGTCCCTGCGACTCAAAAAGCTGAGGTAAGAACTGAAACGGGACATTCTCTAGGGAGTAATTGACCAACATATATTTTTTCTTAACATTAAGTGGCCGTCCTAAGCCGGAAACACTGCGACCTGTAAGGCATATTGTGTCTCTGATCTCTGTACCTTGTACAAGCTTGTGCAGGTCGTTGATAGTATGAGAACATAATCCCTACTCTAGCTTTGCTTTCCCAAATATAAAGGGTCGTTTGCGATCCAGAGCCTCGCAGTTTTAGGATCTTTGTTATCACAGAGTGCGGAAAAGACCCCTTTCGTACGCATTTTTTAGCAGGGGTGTAGTTTGAAAAGCATTTGACAGTCGTACACCTTAGCGCGTCGTTTTTGTTGTCCATTTAGTTGCACGAAGGCCGCTAGATGGCGTTAATGTCTAGTTCTTGCTATTGACAATTATTGTAATGTACATGACGTGCGTTTTTCTGTTTGGAACTTGTCCTGGTAGCACTTGACAGCCGCAGTATATCCTGCCAGGAGACCTGTTGTATTCCTCACTCTCTTCCTGCTGAGCAGTTCAGTTATGGCATAAAATAATTAACTAGAAAGAAGTGTCAACTCTGTGCTAAATCGTGGAAACATGATACGCCACCGAAAGCCTTCGTTGTCGTCTGGAGAACTAATTTTCCAATTGACAGGTTGACATGATGGCTTCATTTTTATTTCCGTTTCCGGTTATTCAATGGCGACCCCTCTTTCAGTTTAAATGTATTTTGTACTCTTTCTTATCATAAATAAAACAAAACAAAATTTTATTCAAACATATTTATTTGAAATATGAGACAACGGGACTAAATAAATATAAAAAATAAAGAATTGAATGATTTCTACAGCAATTACTTAATTATATGCAATTTTAACGTAAATTAGTAAGGTATAAGCATGACTTACAGTAATTTGTAAATAAATACGCCTATTCACAGCCATCAAGGATAGAAAACGGGGGCAGACATGAAAACGGGAGCCTTATACAAAAATCTGAAAACAGAAAAACAAATTTTTTTATACTAAAATTAACAATGTAAAAATATCAAGGTATAAAATATAAATATACTGTTTAAAAAAAGCGTCCATTATTCCCAAAGAGACCTGGTTTGTAAATCAAAAAGAAGCAAAAAGAGACTTTTAGTCGGATAACAATCAGATTGTATCAGTCAGATTTACTGCATTATTGACAATAAATCGCACATACTGGAGATAACTAATGTTGGCTATAGTTAAAAATGATCTTACCTTGCTGTAAATTGTTTTCATTTTCAAAAAAATCGCCGATCATAAACATAACAAAATTTTCTTGCATCTAAAAAATACAGAAATAGTGTTTATTTAGTACCTATTTTTATAATATACATGGGACATACCTAGTACTCCAGAAACGTCTTTTTCTCCAGGATTGTTCATGTAATAATATATTTTATATGCTTTACTACCTTTATATTTATAAATTTCTGCCGAAATATCAAATTGAATTTACAAAACAAAACTAACCGGAGAGAATTAAAATGGCGTCGAAATTTGTTCTAGAACAAATCTGAAGTTGTCTCTGAAATCTGTCAATTCTAAACTGTGAAGTTAGACAATAGTTAGACAGAAACATTGCTGTCCTTGTCTAGGCGGCCATACTTGTCGTCAGGAGATGACAGGATTGAGACTAATGACTGTTTCCAATTTTCCTCTTTCACTGTCACCCCCCTGAGTTATGGTTTTAGAGTTAGGTACTTGGATGATGAGCTTGTTATGTTTGTGCCTCTGTTTGTTTCTCTAGTGAACGGTCCGCGTTTCCCTGAGCCAGAGTTTTACTGCACTGAAGGTTATACATTTGGGTATTCCGAATACTGGCCTTTGTGAACATACTCAGCAACATGTCCTAGGAAACTTTTTGGCGATAACTCCATTTGTCAACATGTTGCTTAACATGCTCCCTAGTGAATAGCCTACTTGAATATTTTCATACAATAAACCACTGTTGACAATGTTGACTCTCTTGAATTAACGCAGCAGTTTTTACAAAAAATAACTATTTTATTTTGTAGATTTTATTATAGTGGCTAAATACTCATAGGATTTTTTTGGAGAAATATAATGTATGGCGAATTCATTTCTTCAAAAAAATTCTAGGAATAACTGTTGTCTATCAAAAATAATGATGTTCCGATATATCGCAAAAAATATATGGATATACTCGATATATCGTTGCCATCTTTATCTATAATGCATCCAATACACATATATAGCACTATACTCCTTCCTCCATATTTTTGAAGTTTCATAATTTGTTAATTCAATTACCAACTATATTGGACTTTTTTCTCAGGTTATGGAAGACGTCCCAGTAGGCACTGTCATTCACACGCTTGTAGCATTGGATCCTGACGTCAATACCTCCGAAGCACTGAACTTTGCAGCCACTGAACCAATCACAGGTCTGGACAAACATGGGCTGGAAGTAACCAGATCTGAAGCTTTCAAGGAGTTTTTCTCGGTGGATAAAAACAGTGGTAAAGTTACCGTCGCCAGTCCCTTACAGAGAGATCTGGCTGCCCTCATCAGGATACCGGTTTTGGTTACCGATATCACGGCACCAACTGTGCAACAAGGGCAAGGACTATTAGGTACGTACTTACGCCTTTTCTTTATACATCGTGTATACCGGGTGCGTCTCAAATACCGGGTGCGTCTCAATCTCGTTTCTTTAACTGAAAAAATAAAAAGGTTATAAAGGTGAGCCAATTTTGAAAAACACTCGGTATATTGTATGCAAATTCAGTTTGAAGCAATATTGTTATCCCAGTTAGTTGCCGCAGCTTTTCCACTACAAAATGTTGTGAGATTTTATCTAAAATCAAGTCATTTTAGTTTGTGTCTATAGAGGCACCTACTCAATAGCTTTGTTTTATACTGTTATCCAATCAATTTTAGGTACCAAGTAACAAGGCTTCAAAGCAGTAAAATTCGTATTAAAATTAAAAAAAAATTGTATGCACTATGTGCTAGTGATGTAAACTTTAGTTACTTATATGGACTCGTAACTACTAGTTACTTTTTGTAATAGGATTCGTTACTTTGGACTCGTTACTTTAGTTACTCGTTACTTCGGTACTTAGTATCCTTACTTTATAATCGTTGTTTTGTGTACAGTTTGGAAGACTTGGGCTTGACTTGTAAATTCGTTACTTATTGTGCGCGGCGATCTTCGTTCTCGGTTTAACATATAAGGGGTTTCTACTTTCATCTAGTGTAAGGGCTTAATAGGCTAATTTCAATACTCGGTATTCAAGTACTGAATAATATGTATTTTTAATAATATGTATAATGTTTTTATAATTATATGTTATCCCTATGTATTAATAAAATTAAAAATAAAAGAAAACAAATCAAACAACGAAAATATGTGTATAATATAAAGCATTTTTTTATTTTTTCACTCTCTCTTTGTATTTTACATTAATAATTATGCAAACATTAAAGAGTAAAAATAAGAAAAATGTATATATTTTTGTTAAAATGTAAAAATATTTTATTTCAAGAACTAAAAAATCTAAGAAAAATTTGTGTGTAGTACTTTTAGTGTCATAAAAAATGACATATTGATGTAAAAAGCGCATCCTTCTATCTCTACTCATAAACGAGAAACCCCATAAATCACAAGAAAATGGGACACCCTGTACATCGCAAACGTATTAATATTTTATTTTAGTTTACGTAAAACTATTTTCTTTACAGTTGTAACTATATTGAACGTAAACGACTCTCCCCCAAACTTCGTTCCTCCATGGACCGTGGAACATCCCATCTACTTCTTGGAAATCAAAGAGGAACTGCCCGTCGGAACAATAGTTGCAACGTACAAAGCATTTGATGAAGATTCGGATATATCCGGCTATACGATATATCCAGAAAGCGAATATTTCCAGATCAACAATGGCACCGGAATTGTACAAATTAAGAAAGTGATTGATTATGAGGAAACGAGAGAGTTGGCTTTTACAGTAAGTATGATCCCAATTAACTTAATTAAGTAATGATTCTTAACGCGTAAGCTAAATTAAGAACATTGTAGTAAATTATGTTTAATAATATGTAACAATAATAATACACACACCGGAAAAGTCTAGGGATATTACAATTTTATCCAGCCATCGTCAGTAATTTTATTATTTGCATTTCTGATATAATAAAATTAAAATAAAGAAATAGTTTACAGGACGTATTGGAAATAAAAATGCGAAATTTACCGAATTTTTCAAATTTACCTTGATTTTTATTGAACTCAAAAAAATACACACATTTTTTTTTATTCTAAACTGCGAATTAAAAAAAATATAAAACCATTTTTACTTAATAAAGGGTATGGCCTCCTCTAGTGTTCATTACAGCCCTACATCGTCTCTCCATGCTCCTGATCAGGTTGTCGATCTCTTCTTGAGGTACAGCCTGCCACGCTGCATTCACGGCCCGAACCAGATCCCTACGAGTTTTACGAGGCATACCAATTCTCAAAATTCTTCTTTGGGCCGCGTCCCATACGTGCTCGATGGGGTTGAGGTCTGGAGATTGTGCCGGCCAGGGTAAGATGTTTAATTGATGAGCATTGATAAACTCAATTACCACTCTGGCTGTATGAGGCCGTGCATTGTCATGCATGAGAATGATGTTTTTCCCAAAATCATTGGCATATGGTAACACGACAGGCTCAAGAATTAAATCACGATATGTGATTCGTGTTAGAAACTTTTCAAGAAAAACGAGATCGGTTTTTCGGCCTAACTGGACTCCTCCCCAGACCATAACTTTTCCACCTTGATAAGGGTGCACTTCCTGAACATGATCCAACTGAATAAGATTTTCCAGTTCTCTCCATACCCTAAGCCTTCTCGAATCCGGATGAATTCCAAAGCGTCACTCATCCGTGAAGAGAACATTGGCCCATTGTTCATTCGACCACTGAACATGATCTTGAGCCCACAAATATCGTACCTCTCGATTTCCTCTCGTTAAAGGTTGAGCTCTCCAGAGGCGTCTGCTTCTTAAGTTGAGCTCTCTTAATCTATTGCGAACAGTGTCAGGACTAATGGTTACATTATGTGTTTCCTCGAGAATTAAACTAAGCTCTGGTGCTGTAAGAGTCGGTCGGCGTCGAGCATTTAATTGTAAAAAATGATCTTGCTGAGGGGTGGTAATGCGATGTCGCCTTGTGTGCCTTTCAGCAACATCACCACTTTCACGGTAGCGTGCACTTAATCGCGATATTACACTTTGCGTTGTATTTAATGCTCTAGCTACGTCGATTTGGCGCATTCCAGCTTCAAGCATACCCATGGTCCTTAGAATTTCGTATCTGTTAAGATATCTACGCTCCATAATGTCGTTTATTACTAAACAGGAATTTATTATACTCAGGAAACTGAGTTCTTTCAAAATCTGAAATAAAAAATGCAGGTCCGTACTTAAAAAAATTAAGTTGGTCTGTGCATCTTACAAATTATCAGCTAATTTGAAAATCTAAAAATACTATCAGATATCCCTAATAAAGTGGCTATGAGAATGTGCAATTAATTTTTTGATTTCCTAAAAAGTAACGACAGGGAAAAATAAAACTTATTTTCAAAAAAATCCGATTGTTCCAAAAAACTCAGCAATCCTTGAAAGGACTAAAACTTTTTTGATGGCGTCTTGGTGAACATCCGAAGGAGCAACTTTGCCCCAATTTAACCATGTTTGTATCTATTACGGTTTCCGAGATACCAATGCTCGTACCTTGAATTTGTAGCACCCTGTATATTAAATTTTAAAGTACATCGAAATTTTGCTCGTTTTTCGAGCCGGTGAATATAGTGTTGCGGACCCGTGTGGACTCGACCTAACCTAACTATATGTCCCGCCCGCAGATGACCTTAACATCGCATTAAAGAAAAGACACAGTAATGATTCATTCGTTCGAGAAAAATCGAGTCCCACTGGAATGGACTAGTACATACGAGAACATTCGAAAACCTTCTCTACGCACCTAACGATCTATGGACTATTCTAGAGTTCTTTACCTGTCGGTATAAAAGCCGGCGGCTGTGGCCTACAGGGGGCAGTTATAAATATACCAGTGCAGTTGACGCGCTAAATTTCAAAATAAATTCTTAGTTATAAATCGTTTGTAAATAGTTCTATAAGTCTTTTATCGTTATTGTTTTTGTTAATTAGTGTTAAATAAATAGTGTTTAAATAAATTGTGACTTTCTATCCACACGGAACCGACGAAAAACGTAACAATAGTAAGAAATGCATAACAAGTAAACAACTTTTTTATTTCCAGGTTTTCGCTTACGACAGCGGCGTTCCCCAGCTCAACGCCTCCGCCCTCGTCCAAGTCAAAGTCGTCAACTTGAACGACAACGACCCCGTCTTCCCCCGCACCTCCTACAACGTGTCCATCGACGAGAACTCTCCCAACGATACCGTCCTGCTGCAGGTCGTGGCCGTAGACCGCGACGCCGACGAATTCGGCGAGGTGTTCTACAATTTGACGGGGGAACACAGCGAAAATTTCCGTATCGACCCGAGAACGGGCGTCATTACCATCGCCAACTCCAACTTTCTCGATCACGAGGCCATAACCGAGTGTGTTCTACAAGTTGTAGGTGAGTAAAACGGGGATCTGTTGAATAGGTATTGGGTCCGGAAGCTAGGCAACCTAATTTATTGCCTTGTGTAAGACGGAGTAATTTAGATGAAAGTTAAAACTACATAATTTACTCTCTATATCTTGTTCAACGACAAAATTCTTTACTAAATAGAACAGAGTCTGTGCTTGGTTCTTTGTGAAACATTGTTGAAATACCGTTTGATCGAAAAAACGGCGTCCATTTAGCTTCGAAATGACTATTGATGACATTTCCCATATAATTTTTCATATTGTGTGGTGCATTGGAACGTGAGAAATAGGAATCCTATGTTAATTTTGAAAAGGTCAAATATTATTCTCCCGATGATTTTATGCAAAAGTTGTATTAGACTTTCGTTTCATTTGGAATATACTTTTTTTTCTTAGGCAAGATTTCGACAGACGATGACAGAAAAAAAGCAGATGATGTCCATACCAATCCATTTATTTCGCTAAAAAATGTCTCTAATATTTTTTAAGTGAACTATGGATGGGTTTGTACAGAGAAGACCAGGCTACTAGTAACATAGCAAGTTGCCCGACGAATTTACGTTTACCCGTTTTGCGTTCGTACTCGAGATTCACTGCCGGCTAGTCGACTGGTCAGGCAGTACGCACTTGCAGTTGTGCTTGGACGGGTCGGCCATGACAAACTAGGAATACGACTCGAGGAGTGTCGAGTATTTATTATTTTCATTTTAAGTGTTTACCTTCACTTAAGGTAACATTTAAAATGAAAATACTTAAATATTTATTATTTGAGTGTGTTTACAAGCCAATACTAAAAATAAATAAGTTCTCTAAACCCAAAAAAAAACTAAAATATTACTCTAAATAAAAAAAGTTATAACAAGTGTTCAAAAAGACCATCTTCTTGTGCTAGACAGAAGCCTAGGCGGTCGTAAAATCCACGTCTGACATTGGCTAACATATTAGGGCTAATAGTTTGGAAAGCCTCTCGTATTTTTACTTGAAGCTCATCCAGATTATTAGCCCTATTATGACCATACACTTTGGATTTTACATAACCCACAAAAATAAGTCATTGGGAGAAAAGATCTTGTGATCTAGCGGGCCACAAAATAGTTCCATATCCACTAATTAAACAGTTGGGAAAAGTATTGTTCAAATATTCTTGAACAATACGGGCAATGTGGGCAGGACAACCACCTCAGCAATTTGATTACTTGAAAACGTGGGATTTTGATCCGCGGTAGCACAAATGAACACTTGCTTTAACTCCTGTTCTTCATTAATCAACACATCAGGCTTTTTTGTTTTTGTGGGAACACGCACCCATGTGTTTCAAAATTATTAATAACTCTTGATACAGTACGTAAAAATGGAATTGGCCTGTCTACAAAAGTTTGTGGAAAGATTGTTTGTATATCCCGATAAGACCTATTTTGGAAATACCATTTTACAATTTGAATTTTGTCACGAACTTCGTAAACATCCATTATTTTACTTAAAAAATAAATTTTACACGAGAACTGTCGCGAGAATCTATGTATTCGTTTTGGCTATTAAAACACGAATAAATACGAATTCTGAAACATTCTTATCTATTTTAGCGCATTTTTTCACCTGCTTCTTATCCGGCGGACGGGTATACGCTAATAATACCTAATGTTGGTATATTTCAAAAATGACAGATCATATTTCAATATTAATGGTTTAATGGAAAGATGAACGACAAACGGACGCCGATGCTTATGAACTCGACTTAAGTATTTTGAGAGTTAACCATAGTTTACAGTTAATATTCGGTGCCCAGAGACACAGTGTGCCAGAGAGTTATATTAGCCATAAATAAAGTTTGTATACCATCTCGTATATGGTACCAAAAAACTGGAGCATATGTAAAATAATATTACACGATAGGTAAATAATATATTTTAGTACTGCAGAGAGATAATGTCAAAGGATACTGGTTTAAAAAAAATAAGATTAAAGTTAATTAAGCAACTTTTAATGCATAAAATTCAGTAAGTAGTGTTATTATTAATAAAATATTTTGTTTTATTTATTTTTTTGCAATACTAAATAAAATAACTGGATTAATTTTTTTTTCTGTTTTATACAGTTTTTTTTTCGAAATATTTTGAACTGACCATTTGTCAAAAAAAATCAATTTTTAAATATATTAATTTTCTACTATGCGTTCCAATTATACCAACTTATTTCTTTTTAAAATAAAATAAACTACTTTGAAATTAAAATGACAGACATCTATCACTGTCAAGGATTTTGTTGTTGGACAAACTATAGTCATTTAAAAGTTATATGCAAAAATCTACCTTCAAATTAGTAAAATTTATAACCATATAAACTAACCAGAGAAAGCTACGATTAAAATACCAGCAAAAATATGATTTTGTTATTGTTAAATTTGATGTTACTATTTTTTTTTGTTTGCAAGAATTTCTGTGGTTTGAAAAATGTGGTTAATTTTTTGCTGAATTGGAATGAGAAATCTACAAAAGAATTAGTTGAATTGAGAATAGTATTCGCGGTGTTTGACTTGTTCGGTGTTCATTACTCGATCACTCGCAGGCCTCGCTCATACCACATATGTCCACAATAAATAATGAGATAATCGAAATATTTGTAACACAATAAACTTTATTAATCTATACTAATTAACAAAATGTTTACATAATTCCCCATTCACAGCCAATCAGTACCCCAAATGATTGGGAAATTCTCACTTCACAATACAAAACTGTTAAAAGGACAATCTTTAGCATTCCACAGAGGTGTGGTTTTCGGTCCATCTAAATTTCTGTATTTAATATTGTCAAGACTTAAATAGATGTCAACTTGGGTTTAGACCAAATTGGGAAAAAACAATTTGATATAGGCCCAAGAGATCGGTTACCTGCATGACATCGACCCAGACATGTTTTTAAATAACATTAATAATTAAACAATTAAAATACAACAATCTCGGGTCGATAATCAAACGCAGGCTACCAAAGTTCGATTGCCTCATGGTCATAGCCGGGTGAATGTAATTAGATGAAAACATATTGAACGACGTAACCGGCGATGACCACGAGGGATAGAAAATATAAAAATGTATGCTGAAGAGAGTCGAGAAGTTAGTCCGTTGATGTGAGTCGCATTATTACGGTCAGTAATTCGCGTTATCAGTCGGTTAGTATACTCTGTTTTTTTTCTCAGGTAAGATTTCGACAGACGATAACAGAAGAAAAGCAGATGACGTCCCATACCAATCTATTTATTTTACTAAAAAAAGTTTCTAATAATTTTTAAGTTAACTATGGATGGGTTTAAATATAAATCCGTCATGCGTCGTCTCTTGTTGATTTTAACCAGTTTTATTGGTTTATTTCAAAAATGACAGATCGTATTTCAATTTTATTGGTTTGACGGAACGATGAACGACAAACGGACGCCGATGCGTATGAACTCGCCTTTAGATTTTTGACGTTTGTCCACGCTTGTCAAAGTCTTGCCGAATTAGAGGTTATAATTTTGTGTTAACCATAGATAAATGCAACAAGTTTAGATTGGAAAGCCCGTAAAAATTTTAGGTCGCGAAATTATTTTGGGTCGCGACCGTTATACGCGATCTGGCGCTGCTATAGCGGTCGCTAAGAACAACGGTAAACAAAAACAGAAATAATTTTCTCTTGTCAAAGTCAGAATCTTCAAAAATCATAATAATCTTTCAAAATCTAAACCGCTCTCAAAGAAATTCCGAAAAGTGTTTATAGCGTCCATTTTCAAAGTAATTATTGCTATCTTGTGAGTTTAATTCAAGTTTTATTTAATCCAACCGGTGATAATTGTGAAAACTGGCATTAAAAACTTAAAAAGCTGTGCTGTGAAGTGTGAACCGCAAAACCATCGTGGATCGTGGCATAACGTCGGTTTCCAATGTTTCATAGGTATTTCATACATGCGTCCTTATATAAAATAAAGTTTCTTGTATGCAACACACTGTATTTTATTTATAAAATTAAACGAAAATAATAATAAATTTGAATAAACAATATTTGGCGATATAATTCCAGAAAAAGCCGAACCGCTCCGAAATTTTCAAAAGTTTTGGTCGCGACCGTTGTAAGAATAGCGCCAAATAGTGTTTACATTGTCCTTATGGGCACATTCCAATCTAAACTTGTTTCATTTATCTATGGTGTTAACTTTTGTCAGTTTTGTCAAATACCTGCGTTTTTGAAGATGATGCATTTTGATTCGTGTTATTACGTGTGTTTTGTGTCTTTTGAAGTCAAGTGGAGGAAAAATCGAGTGAAAATTAACTGTAGACCCAGAGCACAGTTTATGGTTAATAGTCGCTGCCCAGGCAAAAAGTCTTATACACCAATAAAGTTACCATCATTAAAGTTCGTATACCATCTAGTCGTAGATAAGTGCATCTCGAATATGGTAGAAGGACCATACTAAACACATACTAAAAACTGGAGTAGCTGTAAAATATCGACATCACACGATACGTAAATAATGGATTTTAGTACTGCACAAGAAAAATAATGCATAAGGTACTGGTTTAAAAATTTAAGATTAAAGTTAATTAATCAACCTTTAAGGTACCTCTAAAATTTGGTAAGTGTTATTAATAATACAATAGTTTGTTTTATTTATGTTGTTTTATTTATTTTTGCGGAATATTACAAATTTGTATTTGTACATCATTTATATTGATAAATATAATCATAAATGCGGGAAGTTTCATAAAGCTTGAAAGTAAGAAATAGTTCTTTTTTATATTTTTTTGGTATGTGGTGTCTTGTTCTTGTTTGTTTTGTATTAACACATACCGTTTTTTATTAAATTAAATAACTCGATTACATTTTTTCAGTTTTATACAGTTTTTTTCCCAATATTTTGAAGTAATCACTTGTCAGTCAAATTTTAAATATAATAATTTCCTGCTATGCGTTCCAGTTGTACCAACTTATTTCTTTGTAAAATAAAATAAACTACTTTGAAATTAAAATGACAGACACATCTATCACTGTCAAGGATCTTCTCGTTGGACAGACTATAGAAGACAGCGCAGACTGAAGATGTTCCTGTAAGTACTTAGTTAAGTAAACCGTTAAGTCTTGGCATTCCCCAAAATTGTATTATACTGTGAACTTTATATTAAATAAAGGCACATTTTGTTCAATGGTTGTTTTGATTGAAAGAGAGAACCTGGTATAGCGAACCTAGCAAACAACCCCCAGCTAGGTCGCGACAATATGTTCATAAAGGAAATGTTCAGGAAGAAGTCGTTCGGCGAAAGATCATGTGGTCTTTTCCTACTGTATCCCCAATAAACGGGAGTCAATGTTTTTCTTTTCTTCAACATGAAGAATATTCAAGTTATTGTTATTTTCTTCCTGTTCAATTATTTTTGTCTTCACACTTTCATGTGCTTAATTCCTTAGATGTTCCTTAGTGCCTTTAGTTTCAAACCTCCGGTTTATTCTTTAAACTGTTGACTTATTCGATATAGGTTTTCCGGAGACTGAGCTGCAAACACATCTAATACAGCGGGAATACTATTTCTAGCAAAATGCGGTTTATCCATCGTAACTTTTTCAGAAGTTGCCAAATTCATAATTATTTTATAGAAAATTACTCTGTTTGCCACCTTCAAATTCTTGTAAAGAAAATGTGACATCGAATTTGACAATGACACAATCACATTTGTGCTTGTGTTTTAATTGTAGCTTTCTCTAGATCGTATTACAAATTTTGCTAATTTGAAGGTAGATTTTTGCAAATAACTTTTAAATTACTATTCCAAATGAAACGAAATTCTATACAAAAGTACCATTTCTTAAAAAAACATCAGTCTCTTCAAAAAAGTCTAATACAACTTTTGCATAAAATCATCTGGGCAGGTAATATTTGACTTAAAAATTAACTTGGGATTTTCTGTCGTATGTTCCGATGCACCCATAGATAAAAGCCTTGATGCACCCCACGGCATAAAATAACAGCGACCTTCATTTCATTGCCACCGGTGACGTACATTAAAGTTTTAATTAGTTTATTTTTTCTACAAAAATTTTCCTACACATTTAAAAAGCGGCAACACTGTATGTTGCTTTTTAGTTTGTCTCTCTGTCTGTCAACCGGTCATTTGTATTTATTTATATCGCATGCATACAGACCTTTGAATAAGAAGACTAAGGAAGGAGCATATCAAAAATTTTAGGTCCACCACGATGGGACTCAAATATGGCCGACTTAAATTCCGGTTTATCAGTGTCGTTCTAATTTTATTTAAAAAATGTAAAACTATGATGTAGGGTAGACGCGGGGTAGACGCAATATTTTTTTTTATTTTACGTTGTGAATAAATGTTGGTAGTTATTAAAATTGTTATAAAAACATATTATTATAATAAAAATAGATAAGTTTTAATAATTATTTATTAACACAAGCATCCGATACGCTACTGAAGCAGGTAAGTCAAATTGACGTATCTAAATTCTTTGACATCTAATCTTTGACAAGAAGTAAATAAAAGCAAAAATGCAAGAAAAAAATACATAATTAGTTAATTTAAGTGGATTTCATAAAAGATCGGTTTACTACACGTATGTATATTATATAGTCACTTACTAGCGAAAAGCTGTTCCATTATTTCACTCGATTTTTGCCGAGATCTAGCGCACACTACACAACCAACTATTTTAGAGGCTTTTTCGATAAATCGCGATAGTGTCACTGTTAATTTAAGTTTTGTCACAATTTCCATCTAGATTTACTACCTTTATATAACTATCAGTAGTAGAATAAATAATAAATAACATAAAATAAGCTCCGTAAAGACTGACAAATCCACAAAATTTCAAATCAAATTCAAATGTGTCAAACGAATCGTCAAACAGAACTGTCAAGGATCCCCACCTTAGAGTCCTTTTTCTGCCCACCATGCATAAATACATGGATAGCATTAGCTCCTTTCTTAGTCTTCTTATTCAAAGATACAGACCATGTAAATAAAGTATCCAGCGGTGTATATCTTTGCTATGGGGGGTTGGTTTAAAAAGTTTACAATGGGGATAGTGGATTTTCTGTAAATATATTATTTTTAATATAGTGTACTATTTTTGTACAGAACTTTTTCTGTTGTTTAATTGTCGCCATATCTATTATGTCTTTACTTTCTATTCTCTCATATTTACTAATTTTAATTAAGGTTCCGAATCTATTAAAACTCTATTTGTAATGTTATATGCAATATGAAATTGAACTTGAATTTCTTTGTTGTAGCTTACGACAACACACCAGTCAACATCAGGAGATCAATGTCAGTGCCTATTTACATCAAGATCAACGACTTGAATGACAACATGCCTAGATTCACCGACCAAGCTTACGAAGTGAACGTCATGGAGGATGTCAGACTTAATCCACCAGTACCACTAATCCAACTAAACGCCACTGATTTAGATTCTGGAATTCATGGAAACATCCATTACAGTATAGTATCAGGAAACGATAATGGCAAGTATTTACATGAATGGAATTGTTCTCTTTAAATTTAATGCTTTAATTTTGGTTTTCAGATATATTTTTACTGGGAATGGACACAGGAATACTCTACGCCCACAAATCGCTGATGGGCTTAACGAAAGTGTTCAATTTAATAGTGGAAGCCAGAGATGGTGCTGGTAATGGAAATCTTTTTGACAGGGCCACTTTGAAGGTTCACGTGCAGAATGTCAATGATCACAAACCAGAATTCGTGATGCCGTATTTACCCAATGCCACAGTCGAAGTTATGGAGGTGAGTTTTTATTCAATAAGGCATTTTTCCCCAGATACTGATGTACAGGGCGCTCATACGCCGCGGAGACTCCAAGGAGAACGACATTTTTTATTGAAATGAATTTTTTTGAGCATATGTATATTAATTCAGAGCAATTTTTTAAAAATATAGAGTTCTACAGGGAGTCCCCAAAAAAAGTTACGTATCAAAATTTGTTTTTTGTAATGGAAAACCCTATATATTAAGTGATTTTCGGATTCTGGGAGAAAAATAAACGTGAGTTTTATGAGAGATGTATATGACTAAAATGTAAAGTTTTTGCATATTTAACATTTTCTAAAAATAAAGAACATATTTTAAATTACAACAAAAGCTACCTAAATCGGAATTTACTCGGTATAGTCTAATATGTAGTTAAATTAATTATTGTACTTTAAATCAAATTAAAACTTGATCCAAAAAGTATACAAGGTGAGACAAAATTAATATAGAACATAGGTCACCTTTAAAAGCATGTTACCGTGAAGTGGGGTGACTTTGCCCAATTCTGAATTTTAAATCGTGTTTATTTCAAAAATTGTTGTATTTTCTCAAATGCGCATGGTCTACACAACAATAATACGCTTTTTTGTTTATTAAACAAATATATATATATATATAAAAAAAGTAAAAACTGGATGGGCAAAGTTAGTTGCTTATATGGGGTGTCTTTGCCCTCTTCCTTATTCTTATTGATAGACCAAAGCCACCCCATTTAAAAGCATAATTACGTAAAATATGCTTCATCACCCTCAATATTATAACGAACTTCTGCATAATACTTACCTCAATATAGCGTGGTTAACTATTGCAGCCACGTCGAAGTTTGAAACGCACAAAATAGGCTTTAAAAACAGATTTGGCTTCACAGCACTGTAAATGCTACATCGCAACTGACGGCAAGCGTTTAACGACGTTCCGAGACGTGGGGTGCCTCCACCCATAATTTACTAATAACAAATAACGCGTTCTTTTCAAGTAGTGGCTACGGCTACGTCTAACATATTTTCGGACGAAATTTGACAAAATCACCCCAAACGGAAAAGTCACCCCATTTCACGACTCTTTTATTTTAAACGAACACCCAGTATATTATTCCGATATTCAATGGAGAATTCACGTCTCTACAAAATACTATTAAGGTTGCCTACCCCTCAAACAAAGATTTTCCTAGATATTTTCACTTACATGATTTGATCTGAGTAGATCTTTATTATTTGATAAAATCTACTTGGCTGTGATATGTGTGACGTTACTTCAACATAGCTGTCTAACTAGTCCAACTTTAACAAGTAGTTATTTTTTTGTGTCAGTTAAAACAAAAAAAATTATCAGAAATTTGCCGAAAATGTAAACTTATCCTACATTAGAGAGAAATTATATGCTTCTATTAGTTGGTGAAGGCAGTGTGCATCTACTCTGATCAGTGTGCGGTGGATAAATAGACATTATGACTAATAAAAGTTACAGTTGAGGGTTGGAACCTTTGGTGTTACACAGCAAAATAAAACACTAAATCACCACAATAAACTAAAACACTTTAAGTTTTACACTGGACGCGCGTTTCGCTAACCATGTTAGCATCATTAGCAGTTTATAATCATCTGCTGATGATGCGTTTTATTCGTTTTTTAATAGCCTATTATAATATATAATAGCGCGATAATTCGTTTTTTAATAGCCTAAACGAATACATAGATTCTCGCGACAGTTCTCGTGTAAAATTTATTTTTTAAGTAAAATAATGGATGTTTGCGTAGCTCGTGAGAAAATTCAAATTGTAAAACGATATTTCCAAAATAGGTCTTATCGGAATATACAAACAATTTTTCCACAAACTTTTGTAAACAGGCCAATTCCATCTTTACCTACTGTATCAAGAGTTACTAATAATTTTGAAACACATGAGTGCGTGTTCCCACAAAAACACAAAAAGCCTGATGTGTTGATTAATGAAGAACAGGAGTTAAAGCAAGTGTTCATTTGTGCTACCGCGGATCAAAATTCCACGTTTTCAAGTAATCAAATTGCTGAGGTGGTTGTCCTGCCCACAATGCCCGTATTGTTCAAGAATATTTGAACAATACTTTTCCCAACCGTTTAATTAGTGGATATGGAACTATTTTGTGGCCCGCTAGATCACCAGATCTTTGTCCCAATGACTTATTTTTGTGGGGTTATGTAAAATCCAAAGTGTATGGTCATAATTGGGCTAATAACCTGGATGAGCTTCAAGTGAAAATACGAGAGGCTTTCCAAACTATCAGCCCTAATATGTTAGCCAATGTCAGACGGGGATTTTATGACCGCCTAGGCTTCTCTCTAGCACAAGAAGATGGTCTTTTTGAACACTTGTTATAACTTTTTCTTATTTAGAGTAATATTTTAGTTTTTTTTGGGTTAAGAGAATTTATTTATTTTTAGTTTTGGCTTGTAAACACACTCAAATAATAAATATTTAAGTATTTTCATTATAAATGTTACCTTAAGTGTAGGTAAACACTTAAAATGAAAATAATAAATACTCAGCACTCCTCGCGTCGTATTCCTAGTCTGTCATGACCGACCCGTCCAAGCACAACTGCAACTGCGTACTGCCTGACCAGCCGACTAGCCGGCAATCTCGAGTACGAACGCAAAACGGGTAAACGTAAATTCGTCCGGCAACTTGCTATGTTACTAGTAGCCTAGTATTCTCTGTATAGAGGTCAATTGTGTCCAATGAAAATAGTTTGTTTCCAAAAATACGTAGTAGTTCTATGTCGACGGAATATTGGGATACTCTGTATTGAGAACACTTTAAGTAAGAGTGTATGTTTATTTTATTTCAGAATGATGCAGAGAAAGACTTTTTAGTTCTTACCGTCAAAGCGACTGACAAGGATAATGGAGAAAACGGCAGAGTGACTTACCACTTCAAGGTGGGCGATAACATCGTTCAAGAAACAAACGAGTTTGCGATAGACGAGAAAAATGGAGAACTCAGGCTCAGAAGAGATTTAGATAGAGAGACAGAGAACCCTAGATACGAGGTACATAACATATTCTAATATAATTCTGTTAAGTAACTAACCAAAATTTACTTGTATTTAATTTAGCTGCAACTAGTTGCGCGAGACCATGGATTTCCAAAGTGGTACCAAACTGTAAGACACTTGACAGTCCTTTTGGTTGACGAAAACGATAATCGGCCTGAGTTTCCTGGATCGACAGCTACAAACCCGTATCATTTTTATATTACTGAAAATAACGAACCAGATACATTAATTGGTAAGTACAAAAAAACTCGTATTTATTAGTAAAGATTTTTTATTCTAGTTGCTTAAGCACCTATCATTAAATTATTCTAGATAAAGCTTAATTCAGAACCTCGCAATTAGTGGAATAAATTAGTGGTTTCAATTACACTTTATACTTTTTAGTTTTCGATCATTCACAATGTTTAAAAAACACAATTAAAGTTAAAAGAGTATCCTAGCAACAGCTTGCGTTGGTCAGTTTTATCTATAGAGAAAGCCTAATATTTAGCTTATAAAACAATCAACTATTTTTCGATTATTTCTAACTATAATTTCTCTTGACGGAAGATAATCAAAGGCCAAAATCACATTTCTCGCAAATTTTGAAATACACACACCGGAAAAATCTAGGGATATCATTTTATTGTTCGAATTTAACCTGTACTGGCTATGTTTTTATGATAACTGGCTAGAATTAATTCAAATAACTCTGTTTAGTATTAACCGACATTATGGAGCGTAGACATCTTAACAGAGACGAAATGCTAAAGGCCATGGGTATGCTTGAAGCTGGAATGCGCCAAATCGACGTAGCTAGAGCATTAAATACAATGCAAAGTGTAATATCGCGATTAAGTGCGCGCTACCGTGAAAGTGGTGATGTTGCTGAAAGGCACATAAGGCGAAATCGCATTACTACCCCTCAGCAAGATCATTTTTTACAATTAAATGCTCGACGCCGACCGACTCTTACAGCACCAGAGCTTAGTTTAATTCTCCAGGAAACACTTAATGTAACCGTTAGTCCTGACACTGTTCGCAATAGATTAAGAGAGGTCAACTTAAGTAGCAGACGCCCGTGGAGAGCTCAACCCTTAACGAGAAGAAATCGAGAGGTACGATATTTGTGGGCTCAAGATCATGTTCAGTGGTCGAATGAACAATGGGCCAATATTCTATTCACGGATGAGTCACGCTTTGGAATTTATCCGGATTCGAGAAGGCTTAGGGTATGGAGAGAACCGGGAAATCTTATTCGGTTGGATCATGTTCAGGAAGTGCACCCTTATCAAGGTGGAACAGTTATGGGGAGGAGTCCAGTTAGGCCGAAAAACCGATCTCGTTTTTCTTGAAAGGTTTCTAACAGGAATCACATATCGTGATTTAATGCTTGAGCCTGTCGTGTTACCATATGTCAATGATTTTTGAAGAAACTTCATTCTCATGCATGACAATGCACGGCCTCATACAGCCAGAGTGGTAAGTGAGTTTATCAATGCTCATCAATTAAACATCTTACACTGGCCGGCACAATCTCCTGACCTCAATCCCATCGAGCACGTATGGGACGCGATCCAAAGAAGAATTTTGAGAATGGGTATGCCTCGTGAAACTCGTAGGGATCTGGTTCGGGCCGTGAGTGCAGCGTGGCAGGCTGTACCTCAAGAAGTGATCGACAACCTGATCAGTAGAGGAGGCCATACCCTTTATTAAGTAAAAATGGTTTTATCTTTTTTTTTAATTCACAGTTTAGAATAAAAAAAACGTGTGTATTTTTTTGAGTTCAATAAAAATCAAGGTAAATTTGAAAAATTCGGCAAATTTCGCATTTTTATTTCCAATACGTCCTGTAAACTATTTGTTTATTTTAATTTTATTATATCAGAAATGCAAATAATAAAATTACTGACGATGGCTGGATAAAATTGTAATATCCCTAGACTTTTCCGGTGTGTGTATAATTAGTGGAAAAGTCAAAAGTTTGATAAATTTTTCTACTAATTGAAAATGTCTACCAGTAATGTTGACGTTCTGAATGCTTACGTTGGATTAAAAGCACAAACTTCTACGCTAATTGAAACCACTAATTTATTCCACTAATTGCGAGGTTCTGAATGAAGCTTTATCTAGAATAATTTAATAATAGGTGCTAATTTAATAATCGCTTCCCTGGTGCCTTTAACCCTTGTCTGAACCCCATTTGCGAATCGCTTATGTCCCTTTCACATTTTTTGTAAATTCTCTGGTGTATTATTTTCAGAAATATTTTTAGAGTATGGCTCATCAGGCTGATAAGTCTGTGATCTTCACACTTTCTGGCATTGGTCTTCTTAGGCAGGGGTATAAAAGTAGAACGCAACCACTGTTGAATACTTTATGTAATGCTGTAATGCCTCTTTCATCTAGCAGCTTACGTATTTCTGCAGGAATTTCATCTGCCCCAGCTGCTTTGTTATTTTTCGAAATAAGTATGGCTTTTTCAATCTCATCTTTAGTGATCGATGGGCCGGTTAGTGAGTTATTGATATCAGCTAAGGGTCTTTCATCGTCAAAAAGTTCTTCTATATACTTTTCCCAAACATTGTTCTTTTCTATGCTTTCGAGGACAATCTGGTTGTTATTATTGACTGTTACAGTTGATCTCATTTTTTTATATATGCCAGCAGTCTCCTTCAGCTTTTTATGCAGATTAAAATTGGCATGTTGGTTTTGCAGCTGTTCTAATTCTGAACATTCACGTTTAAGCCATTCGTTCTTTGCTATTCTGGGATCACAGTATGAAATAATAATTTAACGAAACAAATGAATTTTATCGACAATATTAGTATCTATACTCTTTAAATATGTGTTACTTAACATATTTAAGAATAATATAATCTAAAAGGTCAATATTCCATGGGTATATTGATCAATGAGGTCTAAGTTATAAGAAAATGCATTTTCTATGAAAACTTGAAGAGATAGGTAAGAAATGGTACAATTTGATAGACAATTTAATCGTGCATCTGATTTTCATAAAATATACACGGTGTTCCATTTAAATTAAACAAGTTATTGCCGTTTAAACCTAGTAATTATTTTATATAAATTTTTAAACATTCTGCATAAGGAAGTATAATTTTTATTATTGCAACACAAAACTTAATAAATAAAAATACTTGAGTATAATATTTGGTTTTAAAAACTCAAATACGCTTAAAGAAATTAAGCATTAAAATTTATTACTGTATTTTGACAAAAACCTAAATATTTCAAACACGGTAAGATTAAAATACGGTAAATCTTAATCAAATTTACCTTTATTTTAATCGTAGAAGCTAAAAATGTAATAATACACAGGGCGCTCCATTTAAAAAAAATACAACTTAGATATTTTTACAATTTGCAAAATTCTAATCGTTCAGCTACACTACTCCGTGTCTTATGTGGTAAACAACCCTGTATAGATATGGATTAGCTATTATTTCAAATCGTTTTAAAAATCTTAAAGATTTTTCAAATCCTTCGAATGGATGATATATTTGCCAGTTCTTTTATTGTTACGTGTGTTCTGGAAACGGGCCAGGTAATCTCATTTTAAATTTACGATATATTTCCCGGATGCACGTTTTTCACAATGTGGTATTTATTATCGCATTCAAAGAATTCGGGATATTTCGAGCGAATTTATGTGGCTATATAATTTCTGCTTGGTTTAACCGCACAAATATCCGAGATAAGTTTTAACATTACCGCAAAAAGGGAAAGATAATAATTGATTGTTATTTTTGTTCGCATCCTCTTAATATTAAATTATACTGACTGTGTTTGGTTTGAAAAAAAATGCTCTTAATAGTTTCAGAATGCAATATTGAGTTCTATAGAAGAATGTTGATTCTTTGAATGTTTCTTTAAAGATATAAAATATTGATCCTTTAATTCATTACAGGACAAGTGAGAGCCCTAGACCGAGACGAGGGCAAGCACGCAGCAGTGTACTATTACATATTGATGGGCAACGAGGATCGTTCCTTCGTCCTTAATAAGGCGACCGGGAACCTCTACGCTGCCAAATCGTTCGATCGCGAAACCAAGGACGAGTATAATTTAGTTATCCTGGCTAATAACGATCCAGACTATTACGCCACCGAGGAAGAAATTAGTTATATGGAAAAAATAGGTGAGAAATTGAGAGGTAGTTGTAGGTTTATTACTGTAAACTCCATGTATTATCCTAGATATATGTATATCAGGCTTTTCTTATTAAAACAAAGTTATAAAAGAATGCGCTTATCATAGTTTTTGATATTGTGGTTTAAATATTGTGATATAAGATGAGCCTTAAATAGGTGAAAATATGTAGATATTGAGATATAGTAGTAGTTTTGTTATGTAAAATTCCATATATTATCCTAGATCTCTGTTTATCATGATTTTTTCATCGGAACAATGTTACATAACAATGTGTGAATCATGATTTTTTATATTATGGTTTCATTTCTTTTATACAATAACCTACGATTTAAAAAAATTGGTCAAGTGCGAGTCGGACTCGCGCACGAAGGGTTCCGTGCCATTCATTATCTATACAACATTAGACACTATATTATTATAAACTTTTTTCCGATTTAGCTGAAATTTTGAATGCGCGTATAAGAAATTAAAAAAAAATTAAGAAACACATTACTAAAAACTGAATTAATCAATAATATATATGTAAAAAGTAAAAATAAATATGTAAAAACATGTAAAAAAAACGATTAAAAAAAAGTTACTTTGACTAGGATTCGAACCTGCCTTACTATGGCTCCAAAGTCATAGCAGCGGAAAGTCCTAACGCTTTAAACCACGCGTGAAAGATTCTATGTAAATTATTACTTAAAAGATAATGTTTAGTGAAAGTACTTTTTTATTTATAAACCTTTATTTAATTCTGTTTTTAGTATTTGTTCTTATAGCGGCAACATAGATACATTATCTGTAAAAATTTCAACTGTCTAGCTATAACGGTTTATAAGATAGACCTTTGTGACAGACGGACGGACAAACAGCGAAGTCTTAGTAATAGTTTTTCCTCTTTGGATACGGAACCCTAAAAACGACTACTGTACTACTTCATAGTTTTTTTTGTGCCTTGAATGCCGCTATAACCTGGCAAGTTCATGCAGGTTTTTCCAGACGAGTCTCGATGGTACTTTTGGGCTCATGACAGTCGTAAATGTCACCTGAATGTCTTTCGCATACACTTACTAAATAACCAAGCAACTTAAATACCGGGTGTTCCTCAAAAGTGGCTCACCCTTTGGCTTAAACCAAAAAAACACTTTTATTTTTTAGTTAGAAAAACCAGATTTCGTATGTTGGTATATGACATAAATTTGGATTGATTGACGTATTCAATTGCTTTCGGTCGCTTCCTGTTTCACCGGAAAAGACTAGAACTTTTGATTTTTAAATGACACCTTTGGTATTTTTTTACTTCAGATGATAGAAAATTACATTCTAAATTGAATGGTGTATGATAAGTCAACTTTTGACATTTTCAATTAAAAAATAGCATTTTAAATTTCCCTACAAAGTGCAATGGTCAAAAATATAACGACAATTTGACTCGAAATACGAAGTGTGTGGTACCAAATTATAAATAATGTTATAATTTTATAATTATAACCATATTTGTCATAAAGTCATATTTTTTGCTGTGTTAATATGTTAAACAAGCACTAAATTTATTTAGTTCAATGCTGCGGAAAGGGTGTTAATAGTTATCGGAAACACTTTAACAACAGCAAAAAATATGACGTTAATGAATATTCATAATAACCATCTGTCAGTGAATTCAAAACGATTTCTGATTTTTAGATCCTTCTCTTAGGACTAGAAAAATTCAAGCATAATTTTATGTTTTCTTTAATTTTCTCTCCAATGCAATGGTATGGAAATTTGGAAAAGTATAAACGGCATTAACCATTTTAGAACAAACACATTTTCTTATAAAGAGTGCAATTTTCTGAAAAGGTCAATAATAGGCTTTGAATAAGAAGACTAAGGAAGGAGCATAATGCTATCCATGTATTCATGCATGGTGGGCGGAAAAAGCACTCTAGCCCCATCCTTGAGAGTTCTGTTTGACGATTCATTTGACACATTTGAATTTGATTTGAAATTTTGTGGATTTGTCAGTCTTTACGGAGCTTATTTTATGTTATTTATTATTTATTCTACTACTGATAGTTGTATAAAGATAGTAAATCTAGATGGAATTGGATTTATCGAAAAAGACTCTAAAATAGTTGGTTGTGTAGCGTGCGGTAGATCTCGGCAAAAATTGAGTGAAATAATGGAACAACTTTTCGCTAGTAAGTGACTATATAATATACATACGTATAGTAAACCGATCATTTATGAAATTCACTTAAATTAACTAAATTATATATTTTTCTTGCATTTTAGCTTTCATTTATTACTTGTCAAAGATTAGATGTCAAAGAATTTAGATACGTTAATTTGACTTACCTGCTTCAGTAGCGTATCGGATGTTTGTGTTAATAAATACTTATTAAAACTTATCTATTTTTATTAGAATTATATATTTTTATAACAATTTTAATAACTACCAACATTTATTCACAACGTAAAATAAAACAACAAATTATTGAGTCTACCCCACGTCTACCCTACATCATAGTTTTACATTTTTTAAATAAAATTAGAACGACACTGATAAACCGGAATTTAAGTCAGCCATATTTGAGGCCCATCGCGGTGTACCTAAGATTTTTGATATGCTCCTTCCTTAGTCTTCTTATTCAAAGATAATAGGAAAATTTTTTCAAACGTCACAAAGGTATCCATTTTTGCGACGTGATTGACAATATAAAAAAAACTCATTTTAACGCCTAGGTATTCGTAAAGCACTTTTACGCCTAAGCATAAAAGTACGAAAATATATTATTAAACTGACATAAAGTGTCAAATTCAACGAGCGAAGCAGAGAATAGGTACATTAAAGAAATGCTAACTTCATGTTAAAAAATGGAAACAGACGCCACCTGGTGTCGCCTGGCAGTACTAGCTAAATTGAGGGGAATTGGAGGGGCGGGGCTTAAAAGAGGGGAAATTTAAAAAAAATATTTTTATAAGTATCACTGACTTACTGTTTAAAGTTAATAAACATATTTTTTATTACTTTAATATAATTTAATGTATTAAAAAAATATGTCTATTAACTTTACACAGCAAATCAATGATATTATTAAAGACTTATTATTTTCAGAGAAAATTCATAGTAAATAAATTACACATTAGTAAACAATATCATATACTTTTTAGAGCTGCGATTTATATTACAATAATATTGAAATATATATATTTTTTTAACAATGAAAAAGAATATCCCGGAACTTGAAAAAGAAAGATGATCAATAATGACTTAAATTAGTTCAAAATACATTTTGCAAATAACTAGTGAATTGGAAAGATAAACATACTATTAAAAAAGACATTTCAGAATTATGTTATCATGGAACTGGTAATTTTTAATATAAGTTTGATAATAGGTAAATAACACGCCGGTCGCGGTATGATACAATTTACCTGTACTCATGATAACACACTAATATGACAAAACTATGGCTCAATACGAATATTCCTTTAATGCTCTAATTAAACAGGATTCTAGCCTCAATGCATGCCATTCCATAACGGAACCAGTTATTCCAAATAAATATAAGCTGAATAAAAACATAAACCAAGCCAATGTGCATACACAACCAAAAAATGCATCAAAAATTCTTTTATCAGATCATAAAGTTTGATATATTATCAATTTTATATAAGTACACCATAGTTCAAAAGTTTAACGATATTGAGAATAGAGAATATAGAGAACATTGTCAGGGAGAAGTAAAAGAAAATTTAAGTTAAGGCAATATGCTCTTTTTGCATATTAACGGCCAGTGCGAAAAATGCGGTAAACATCTAGAAATAATAAGAATATAATGTTGATTGGTAATAAAAATTTACTGGCATCATTTCTGATAATGTATAAATCAAACTTTTCACATTTCATTCTTCATATTTTCTAATAATCGTTTGATTTGTAAACATTTTTTTGAAACAATAGAGAATAGAAAGCTTTTTCATTGTGATATACTTCGAAGATCTTCCCATTTTTGAGGTGGGGAAGACATTTAAATAATAGGGTAAAACATAATCAAAATCATTTTGGGGCATAAATTATCAGAACAAAATTGACGTGTTTTGATATTATTATCAGGGAAATAATATTTTAGTTAAACAGGTGCGCTGCCAGGCAAGAGTTCTATCGGCGGGTCTTTGCAGTACAATTTCTAAAATACAAGGTATGACGTTTAAATCTTAGTTGTATTTACGAATAACGTTTTTGTGTGTAATTTCTGACTTACCAGTTAACTGAATAATCGCATTAAATACATCCAAATGGTAATTTAATATTGTAAAAAGCAAAATTGTTTTTTTTAAAACACTTGCCAAGGACAGCCCGGCCAGCTTCTTTGTTGACAAACGTGGCAAAAAGTATTCATGATTTGCGACGGATTGACAATATAAAAAAAGCCAATGCCTGGCAGATGTTGCACTTGTCGTTGGTCCTAAAAGTTTAAAAATACTATTATTAAACTGACATAAAGTGTCAAATTCAACGAGCGAAGTAATAGTTTCTCGATATACAGGGTGGCCCATCGAAAACGTTCCGCAAGGCATAACGGCCAGGGTAATTTTTTTTCAGAAAATTCAAAAACACGTCAATTTTGTTTGTGAGGGGGACAACTTTTGCCCCAAAAACGATTGCAAAATATTCAACCCTCTAAGCGGGGGTGTCATCCCCCAACTTTTTCAAATGGAAGGGGCGGTCAAGTGGCGCCGCAATGAAAAAGAGCTTTCTATTCTCTATATTTCCCCGCTTCGTTTTTGAAAATCGGTCGAGTCATTGAGAAAATATGAAGGATTGAAATTTGAAAAGTTTATTTAAACATTTATCAGAGTAAATGATAAGGATAAATTCCTTCGACCAATTTGCTGTTTTTTCTTATTATTTCTAGATGTTTACGCATTTTTTCACTTGCCACAAGATTGAACGATTAGGTGCGGTCTCAATATCGTTAAACTGACCTACAATAGAATTTCCAAAAATACCAGCCCGCGACGATCAAAATCGTCTTCGTTGAGTTCTTGTACCAACTGAATTTTGTACGGGTGGAACTGGTGTTTTTTTAATATCGTTTGGACACTTGTACGATTCACGCCGGTCGCGGTCTCATTGGCTAATTTTCTTGTACTCAGCGTACTACCCATGGCAACTTGGCTCAATACGAATATCTCCATAGCTTCATTTACTACAGGATTTTCCCTCTGCCTCTTTTTATTCATAACGGAACCAGTTTCGTGAAATTTTTCTACTAAATCGCGAACAATTTTGCCATAAAGGTGTTTGTCAGGATGACGTTCATTGAATATCTGCGCAAACCGATTGCCACATTCATTATTTTTAAAATAAAGTTCGATTATATCAACTTTTTTTGCAAGTAAGTACACCATAATTGTAAAAAAGTTTAACGATATTGAGAAGAACTTCAACGCACAAGTCACAGAACAGTTATCTAGCAACTACCGCACCTGATCTTTCAACCTTGTGGCAAGTGAAAAAATGCGTAAACATCTAGAAATAATAAGAAAAAACAGCAAATTGGTCGAAGGAATTTATCCTTATCATTTAGTCTGATAAATGTTTAAATAAACTTTTCACATTTCAATCCTTCATATTTTCTCAATGACTCGACCGATTTTTAAAAACGAAGCTGGGAAATATAGAGAATAGAAAGCTCTTTTCATTGCGGTGCCACTTGACCCCCCTTCCCATTTGAAAAAAGTTGGGGGATGACACCCCCGCTTAGAGGGTTGAAGATTTTGCAATCATTTTTGGGGCAAAAGTTGTTCCGCTCACAAACAAAATTGACGTGTTTTTGGATTTTCTGAAAAAAAAGTTACCCTGGCCGTTATGCCTTGCGGAACGTTTTCGATGGGCCCTACGATACCCTGTATAATTTCATACAAGGTATGACTTTTAAATCTTTTTATATTATTTGAAACGTTTGAAATTGTTTAAAAAATTATTTGTGGCGTTTGAAAATATGACTTGCTCTATTCGAAGTAAAAATGACTTTTTGTGCCTCGGCTGTATGTTGGACTCGCTAACGCTCGTCGACCTCGTACGACCTCGCCGCAAAAAGTGTCATTTTTACTCATAATAAAACAATATACAGGGTGGCCCATCGAAAACGTTCCGCAAGGCATAACGACCAGGGTAATTTTTTTTCAGAAAATTCAAAAACACGTCAATTTTGTTTGTGACGGGGACAACTTTTGCTCCAAAAATGATTGCAAAATCTTCAACCCTTTTAGCGAGGGCGTCATCCCCCAATTTTTATCATATGGGGGAGGGGGGTCAAGTGGTACCGCAATGAAAAGGGCTTTCTATTCTCTATACTTTCCGGCTTCGTTTTTGAAAATCGGTCTAGTTATTGAGAAAATATGAAGGATTGAAATTTGAAAAGTTTATTTAAACATTTATCAGAGTAAATGAGAAGGATAAATTTCTTCGACTAATTTGCTATTTTTTCTTATTATTTCTAGATGTTTACGCATTTTTTCACTTGTCACAAGGTTGAACGATCAGGTGCGGTAGTTGCTAGATAGCTGTTCTGTGACTTATGCGTTGAAGTTCTTTTCAATATCGTTAAATTTTTTAACAGTTATTATGGTGTACTCACTTGCAGAAAAAGTGGAAATAATCGAACTTTATTTTAAAAATAATGAATGTGGCAATCGGGTTGCGCAGATATTCAATGAACGCCATCCTGACAACCACCTTTATAGCAAAATTGTTCGTGAGTTAGTAGCAAAGTGTCCAAAGGATATTAGAAAAACGAAAGTTCCACCCGTACAAAATTCAGTTGGTACAAGAACTCAACGAAGACGATTTTGATCTTCGCTTGCAATTTTGTGAAACTATGAGTGAACGAGTGGCGAATGATAATAATTTTCTATTTAATGTGTGTTTTTTGGATGATTGCACTTTCTTTCTGAACGGTGTAGTTAATCGGCACAACTGTCGGTACTGGGTTGAAGACAACCCCAGGGTTTCTCACGAGGTGCACACACAAAACCCTCATAAATTGAACGGTTGGGGTGGTATTTTTGGAAATTCTATTGTGGGTTAGTTTAACGATATTGAAAAGAACTTCAACGTACAAGTCATAGAACAGCTATCTAGCAACTACCGTACCTGATGATTCAACATTGTGGCAAGTGAAAAAATGCGTAAACATCTAGAAATAATTTTAGGGGCAAAAGTTGTCCTCCTCACAAACAGAATTGACGGGTTTTTGGATTTTTTGAAAAAAAGAATACCCTGGCCGTTATGCCTTGCGGAACGTTTTCGATGGGCCACCCTGTACTATTTTTCTCTTGTAAAGGCAATCTGGGAGCATACTGTGGATTGAAATTTAAAACACGATTTTTTAAGCAAGAATTTCAAATGTTGACTTGATAGGTAGGTCATTTTCTATCGAATAAAGCAAAAAAAATACTTAGAGTGCCGTTTAAAAATCAAAAGTTGTAGCTATTTCCGGTGAAGCAGGAAGTGACCAAAAACAAATGAATACGTCAATCAATCCTGATTTATATTATATACTAACCTACTGAATCTCTTTCATTTATCCCTTTGAATAAGAAGACTAAGGAAGGAGCACAATGCTATCCATGTATTCATGCATGGTGGGCGGAAAAGCCACCATAAAAGCTCTCTAGGGTGGGGATCCTTGACAGTTTTGTTTGACGATTCATTTGACACATTTGAATTTGATTTGAAATTTTGTGGATTTGTCAGTCTTTACGGAGCTTATTTTATGTTATTTACTATTTATTCTACTACTGATAGTTGTATAAAGGTAGTAAATCTAGATGGAAATTGTGGCAGAACTTAAATTAACAGTGACACTATCGCGATTTATCGAAAAAGACTCTAAAATAGTTGGTTGTGTAGCGTGCGGTAGATCTCGGCAAAAATTGAGTGAAATAATGGAACAATTTTTCGGTAGTAAGTGACTATATAATATACATACGTGTAGTAAATCGATCATTTATGAAATTCACTTAAATTAACTAAATTATATATTTTTCTTACATTTTTGCTTTTATTTATTACTTGTCAAAGATTAGACGTCAAAAAATTTAGATACGTTAATTTGACTTACCTGCTTCAGTAGCGTATCGGATGTTTGTGGTAATAAATACTTATTATAACTTATCTATTTTTATTAGAATTATATATTTTTATAACAATTTTAATAACTACCAACATTTATTCACAACGTAAAATAAAATAACAAATTATTGAGTCTACCCCACGTCTACCCTACATCATAGTTTTACATTTTTTAAATAAAATTAGAACGGCACTGATAAACCGGAATTTAAGTCGGCCATATTTGAGGCCCATCGCGGTGTACCTAAGATTTTTGATATGCTCCTTCCTTAGTCTTCTTATTCAAAGATTTATCCCAAAAAATAAAAAAAAAAACTTATAGGGATGAGCCTCTTTTGATAAACACCCGGTATAAGCTTGTAAAAATTATGTGATTTTGGTTGATGGATTATTTAGAAAATACCTCCAAATTAATGAACTCCCTTATTCAAACGTTTGAAAGAGCGTATGTCAATTAATCGGAATAATTAACTTTACCGTTTATGACCGCACAATTTGTGGCGTATTTGCCAGGCCCAATCCAAATATTAAACTTGCCTGTAACGAATCCGGTAAATGGCCGCATCGAACTAACGGTTCGCCGATCGTTTCCCCGTTTTCATGTTTGTTTTCCATTTGGCCAGGAATGCTGAACGACAAGAGCGTGGCCAGGGCCATAGTGACGGTGAGCGACCTCAACGACAACGAGCCCTATTTCAAAAGCACCGTCTACTACGCGGCGGTAAACGCCATGGCCAACGTGAACAATTTCGTGGCCAACGTCACGGCCTTCGACCCCGATTTCGGAATAAATGGGTAAGTTGTAAAATGTATAATGAAGCCAATAATGTACAGGGTGCGTCAGATTGGACGCTTTTAAAGGGAAACACGCTTTTCTATAGGAGATAGACAAAAACTGATATCGGTATCTGGAGCTTAATTTGTATCAAAAACATGAAGGTGAAAACCGCACATCGATATCTGTTACCGTTTGTAAGTTACGGGGTGTTTTCCAAAAATGTGCATTTTTAACCAATTGCTGTAACTTTTTTGCTATGGAAAATTTTGTACTTTAATGAAAACATTTCCAAAGCACTTTTTTACGTAGAATTTAACGATTTAAGTCTCTTAATTTACGAGAATCCGATACACAATTTAATTGTCTATCAAATTGTATTATACCATTTTTTACCTATCTCTTCAAGTTTTCTCAGAAAATGCATTTTCTTACAATTTAGGCCTCATTCATCACTATACCCATGGACTATTGACATTTTAGATTATTTTTATACATCTAACAAATTTTCAAAAATTACCAGATACTAATATTGTCGATATTGTCTCTTTCATTAAAAGATAAAAAACTTAAAAATTTTTTTTGTTAAAGACAACCAATTAATATGATCCCAGTATTCAAACTACATTAATTGACTGTTTACGTTGATTAATAATAATTGCTACAAATACTAAAAAAGTGAATTTTGTGTGTGTATTAAACTGTGTTAGGAATTAAAACTTTATAAATTTGATTTAATTTTTGACGAATGCTTATTTACAACAACAGAGAGTTTCATTTTCATAACTTATTATTGTATTGATTACTGAATCAAATCCACCTTTATTTTGAATAATTTATTAATTAAAACAATTAAGTATGTAATTAACTAATTTCTGGGCGGAAATAATGGTGGTATATTAATAATTAGTAATATAATTGGTATACTCTTCTACAAAGATTTAAATACTTTTCTTTTTGTAAACAAATGGGCTTGCAATATTATTGCCTGTACATTTTGTACATATGTATGTTGCCTTAAAAAAATCTAGAATGTCAATATTCCAAGGGTATAGTGATAAATGCGGTCTAAATTATAAGAAAATGCATTTTCTACGAAAACTTGAAGAGATAGGTAAAAAATAGCGTAATACAATTTGATAGACAATTAAATTGTGCATCTGATTCACGTAAAATATATAGGGTGTTCTATTTAAATTAAACAAGTTATTGCCGTTTAAATTAATTTTTAATTATTAATTTTAAGTCAGGTCCCCTTCGAAATGCAGAATTTTACTAGTAAGCTTTGGGGATTTCTTATAGATCTGTCCTTAAGGAAACTCGCAAATATATTCTTTTAACAAGGCGAGTCACCTCCTCGCATTGCTGAAATTATCAGCAATTTTTTGCTGCCAATTTCGAGAATAGCTTGGCCGTCGAGGCCGCCGGACGGCCAAGCCGATATATTTATTTTAATTGCCGTATACTTTAGACAAGAATCTAAAAGATATAGTTTTGTTAAATATAATTTAAATTGTTATACAATTCTGCATCTTCCATTGTAAATATTATTTGCGTTTTAATTGCTGTTGACAGCTACCGGTAAGCATTTGTTTTCTGCCTTACGGCCGGCGTCATTTAAAGCCTACTTATTCAGATTGGGCAAATTTTTAAAAACTCTATATCTGGAAGAGGAGTCGAGCAAAATATCAAGCATGCTTTATTTGTAGAAACGTAATTTTAGGTTTTTTTTAATGAATTAAAAATATATAGTTAAAAATATACAGGGTCCGGCAATAGTGCGTCGGGCATCTATAGCTCCTAGAATAAAAAACTTGGAAATTTTGTTTAAGTGCAAACCTAAAGTATGTAGTAGGACGTATTTCAGGAAAATATTTTAACTTCTATAGGGTGGCTCAAAAAAGTGAGAGTGGATCGACATGATTTTTTTTAAATGGAACACCCTATATATTATTGCATTTTTGGCTTTCTGTTAGATCACTTTACATAATCCTAAGACATAAGTAAATATATTTCGATAATTTCAGAGATATTAATAAATAAATAAAAATTATATATTTTTAGCCTTTCTTAAAAAAATTATTAATAATACAAGAACTGTCCTGAAATCAAAACTATATTAGATATTTACTTTAGATGGTCTGTACTTACTTTGCTATAAATATGGAAATCGTAAATCATATAGGATGTTCAAAATTCTACGCCAAACTTTCTAAAATATAAAATAATTTTTCTTTGTTTTTTTAAATGGAACACCCTGTATATTATTTTTTCAATAGATGGAGAATTAAAAAATGAACATTTTTTGCATTTAGAGTATTTCAAAATTTTTAACAATTTCGCAGATATTCCCGGTTTTGTATTTCATACGGCCATTTTCCACAGTAAATTTTTATCAAAGCCACCCAATGATTTTTCTCTCGTATTTTACCATTGAAAGCGCCATATGAAATAATACTGCGTGTATCCGGAAAACTATTAAAATTTTTGAAATACTTTAAATACAAAAAATGTTTAATTCTCTATCTATCAAAAAAAGAATATACAGGGTGTCCCATTTAAAAACCAACAAAATTATTTTATATTTTTGAAAGTTTGGCGTAAAATATTGAACATCCTGTATGATTTACGATTACCATATTAATAGCAAAGTAAGAACAGACCCTCTAAAGTAAATATCTAATATAGTTTTGATTTCAGAACAGTTCTTGTATTTTTAATATTTTTTTTTGAGAAGTGTTGAAAAAATATATTTTTGATTTATATTTTAATATCTCTGAAACTATCGAAATAGATTTACTCATATCTTAGGATTATGTAAAGTGATGTGAAAGGAAGCCAAAAATGCAATAATATACAGGGTGTTCCATTTAAAAAAAATCATCCAGATCCACTCACACTTTTTGAGCCACCCTATAGAAGTTAAAATATTTTCCGGAAATACATCCTCATACATACTTTAGGTTTATACTTAAACAAAATTCTCAAGTTTTTTATTTTAGGAGCTACAGATGCCCGACCCACTATTGCCGGACCCTATCAAAATAAATTTTTGATAATTCTTAAATTATTAATTTAAAAAAAATTCTACGCAAAAGGTACCTTAGAGATATTTTCATAAAAATAAAAAAAAAAAAAATTTAACAGCAAAGAAGTTACAACAATTTGTTAAACATGCACATTTTTGAAAAACACCCCTGTAACAGATATCCACGTACGGTTTTTATTATCATATTAGTTTTCGTCTGTCTCGTATAGAAAAGGGTGTTCCCCTTTATAACTGTTCAATTTAGCCCACCCTGTACATGGTATCCCATTTTCGTATATTTTATGGGACCCTACTTACGGTTACGTAGGTGAAGCAAGCATGGTTCTCCAGTAGGCCGCTGGTCTTATTTGGTGGTACGATTCGTACGATATGTGCGACTACCTCAAGATGGCGAGAGAATCTAGTTCTCGTCATTATAGGTACATTTAGTACTCGGTTCCGATTTCTGCATTTTGTTTCTCAGATTCATAGACAAACTAACAAAAGCAAGACGCGTCAACGCTGTACTGCAAAACGGTAACAAGTTTGATAAGAGTTTATTACCGCGCTTGCGTCAACTGGCCTTTTAGACGAGGACGGTTTACTTATGGATTGTGTATTTTGTAGTAGCCTTTTAGACAAGGATGTTTAATTAAAAAGCGTTTATTAAAATCAAATAAATTTATTTCCATCGGTAAAATAAACAATAATTTCTGGACATAACAGATATAAAAACAAAAGTTAAATAAACGAAAACGTATTTCTCTTATTAAAATAACAAAAAAGATGATAAAAAAAACAGTTATGGTAAACGAAATAAAAGCATTATTCTTCAAAAGGTACAAAAAAATAATTATGTATATTATAATATTAATAATAGGAACAACAAGAAACATCTTAAAAATATAAAACTTTTTCAAATATAAAACAAAAACATAAACTTCACATTTTCACAAGAATTTGCAAAAATATTAACATTTCGAGTCTATTATAAAATATAAAGCACGAAAATTCAAATCATAAAAAGATTAAAAAGATAAAGATTCTTATAACTTACAGTCAATTTGTAGGACCTTCGTTTTGTCTACGTTAGCGATGTAATCACAATAATATGTATAATCACAGTAATTATTATGTTCTTCATAAATGTAAAATGTATTAAATTATTTGTTTTCGTTTTGTACGCTAATAAAATAATAGTAATAACCAAACAAAACGCAAAATCAGGAATTCAACAGTTCGTTCTAGGATGGTTGAAGGCGAAAACATTTTTCGTTTTATTTAGGTTAGGTTTGACGAGTGCGACTGCGCGATGATTTCTGGCTCAACTGGCCAGCGCAAAAACAATAATTCGACTTCCTCAATCCTTTGTAAAGTCTTGCTTTTGTTAGTTTGTCTATGGTCAGATTGGAGGATCCAGCAATGTTGGTCTGATGATGGGGATAAACCCCGAAACCAGTAGTCGGATAGCTGCTTCCTTCGATCTAATAAACTTAATGCTGAAATTGTTTACGCCTAAGATAAGGCATTTTCACGCTTCTGTATACTATGTATATTTTATAACTTTTATATTTTTATTTCAATGGCTAAATAACCAGGCTCCTTCAAATGAACTCTGTTATAGTTAAAAGTTATAGTAATATATCAATAGCTAGAAAATGAATAAATATAAATTCGATATAGGTAATGAATTTGGAATCATTAGAATTAATTGTTTTTACCAGTAATAATTTAAGAAATTTAAAATTTAAAGATATTTTTTTAAGAAAAGGCGTCACATTTTAAATACAGACTGTCCCATATTTGTGTCTTTTTGTGTGTTTATTATGAAAATAACTATAGAGTGTATTATATTTTTAGAAATCTCAAAACGAGGCAAATAAGATAAAATAATATACAGGGTGGCCCATTGAAAACGTTCCGCAAGGCATAACGGGCAGGGTAATTTTTTTCAGAAAATTCAAAAACACGCCATTTTGTTTGTGAGGGGGACAACTTTTGCCCCAAAAATGCTAAATTCAAAAACTCTCTAAGCGGGGGTGTCATCCCCCGATTTTTTTCAAATGGGAAGGGGGGTCAAGTGATACCGCAATGAAAAGGGCTTTCTATTTTCTATACTTTCCTGCTTCGTTTTTGAAGATCGGTCGAGTCGTTGGGAAAATATGAAGGATTGAAATTTGAAAAGTTTATTTAAACATTTATCAGAGTAAATGATAAGGATAAATTCCTTCGACCAATTTGCTGTTTTTTCTTATTATTTCTAGATGTTTGCAATCGGGTTGCGCAGATATTCAATGAACGCCATCCTGACAAACACCTTTATGGCAAAATTGTTCGCCAGTTTAGTATCAAAATTTCGCGAAACTGGTTCCGTTATGAATAAAAAGAGGCAGAGGGAAAATCCTGTAGTAAATGAAGCTATGGAGGTATTCGTATTGAGCCAAGTTGCCATGGACAGTATTCTGAGTACAAGAAAATTAGACAATGAGACAGGCGGGAATCGTACAAGTTTCCAAAGGATATTAAAAAAACACAAGTTCCACCCGCACAAAATTCAGTTGGTACAAGAACTCAACGAAGACGATTTTGATCGTTGCTTGCAATTTTGTGAAACTATGGGTGAACGAGTGGCGAATGATAATAATTTTCTATTTAATGTGTGTTTTTCGGATGAGTGTACTTTCTTTTTGAACGGTGTAGTTAATCGGCACAACTGTCGGTACTGAGCTGAGGGCAACCCCAGGGTTTTTCACGAGGTGGACACACAAAACCCTCAGAAATTGAACGTGTGGGCTGGTATTTTTGAAAATTCTATTGTGGGTTAGTTTAACGATATTGAAAAGAACTTCAACGTACAAGTCATAGAATAGCTATCTAGCAACTACCGTACCTGATGGTTCAACATTGTGGCAAGTGAAAAAATGCGTAAACATCTAGAAATAATAAGAAAAAACAGCAAATTGGTCGAATTTATCCTTAATTATCATTTATTCTGATAAATGCTTAAATAAACTTTTCAAATTTCAATCCTTCATATTTTCTCAATGACTCGACCGATTTTCAAAAACGAGGCGGGGAAATATAGAGAATAGAAATCTCTTTTCATTGCGGCGCCACTTGACCCCCCTATCCATTTGAAAAAAGTGGGGGATGACACCCGCGCTTAGGGGGTTGAATATTTTGCAATCATTTTTGGGGCAAAAGTTGTCCCCCTCACAAACAAAATTGACGTGTTTTTGGTTTGGTTTGGATTTGGTTTGGATTTGGATGGATTTTTTGAAAAAATAAATACCCATGCCGTTATGCCTTGCGGAACGTTTTCGATGGGCCACCCTGTACAGAGTATCCCATTCAAAATAACAAAAGTTTGGGTCATATTTCAAGAATAACAGCTCACAGCAAATATATAGTTACGCCACTGAATTCTATATGAAAAACTCTATGGGTCTCAGATTTCACCTTTTCGATAAGTTACAAGATAACCGAGATACAGAGGGGATCGAAAAATGCAAATATTCGGCGGCTAGAACAAATCTGTGTGTAGCATCTTTAGTGTCATAAAAAGTAGCACGGTGATGTGAAAACCGCATTTTCGAATCTGTATTCATAAATTAGAAACCGAGCTATAAACCATGTAAAACACACGAAAATGGGACGTCCAATACTTTATTTCCTATTCAAATATAGGAACGTAATATCAATAATATTATAATATGATATCTGCTATTGGCTAGGGTTTGATAATTCTCTCCAAATTGTATGCAACACGTGGCTATTTACTGTTAATTACTAAAGGCTTAGAAATCGATTGTAATGTACCGTTCTATTTGGCTTAGCTCCAAAGTTTAACATATACTTAGGAAGCCAGTAATTACTGCAGCTACCACTAAGTTATGTTCACTTTTATTGCTTCGTCTTAAAAGGTTTCTTTCTTGCGGGAATTAAAATGTCCTGAAATAATTTTCGTTGTTACAGCACATTTGATTAGACAATTAATAGTATGAACATGTTCCAATTGAACGTATTTTTATACCACGTCTTCTACCACGAATTATAACTGATGATATATAGGGTGACTCACGTCTAATGGCACTTAGACGTTTATGGAGAACCGGTCATAGGATTTTTTTGAAAATTTGGAATTTTGCATAAGGGTATTTGCTCCATCTCTTTACCGCTTCATACTAAAAGTGGTAGCATCTTTGTTATTTTAAATGGAACACCCGGTATATTATTATATTTTTCAAAACTGCCGGATGGCCCATTAGCACGAGGAATTCTAATATCTTCGTTGTTGGCAAAGATATGAAAAATGTTTTATATAAATGTTGCATGGATAATAAAGGTGTATATCATAAAAATATTTTGTTGAGCACAGGGTGTCCAATGCAAAAGTAACGACGTAGTTAAAAGTTTTTCAAATTTCAACCCCAATTTTTCTGTACAGGGTGTCCCATTTTGGTTGAAATCATACGGTATCTCCGATATTTGTGGAGATAGAAGGGTGCGGTTTTTACAAACCTGTGGCACTTTTTTGTCAAATGGAAGATGCTGTCAACAAAATTTTTATAACCCTTTTCGTTTCTGAGCTACAGGGTCTTTTCGAAAATTTTGCAATTTGGGACCGCCCCCGTATCTCCGTTATTATGCATGATATCGAAATGGTGAAAACTGATTCTTGTAGAACTTTTTTCGTATAATACAATGGCGTAGTCTGTTTTTCTACGAAAAACATATTTTTGAAAATATGAACTAAAGTTATGTTTTTTTTTTAAATGGAACACCCTGTATATTTATAAATCATGTGATCAGCTTTGATATGAGCTTCTCAAATATATATATCACTCTATATTTATTTTCACTGTTTACTGCAATATTTAAAATATATCATTTTCTTATTAGTAGGCCGTGATAAATAACAAAATCAAAATGGTATTTACTAAAATAGACATGCACATATTAAAATTTTATTTGGAATTGATATATTTTACTTTTGAACTATTACCACTAAACCTCTAAATATATTTTTTCTCTTTTTTATAACGGAATTTATTATAATGGGATGGGTTTGCAAATATTTAAAAACTTGCATTATTGAAGCATTTTTCAGGTGTTCAACATCGTATTAGTTGCCACGATATATTTCATATTTCAAAAATCCCAAAAATCAGAGATCGAGATCAGACAAATCCGGGAATCAGGGAGGCCATCATATGGGCACATTGGTTCCAATTCATTGATTTGAGAAATAATAATTTAACAAAATTCTAATATTTTCGCTGAAAGTATATTTCACGTAAATTAGCTAAAGGAATATTTAAAAGTTCCGATACGATAGCTTCCAAGATTTACAAAGAGCGGTAGAGATTTAAGTTTCCCTAATATACAAAGAATTAATTAGTGGCTCTCAAAATAAAACAAGAGACAGATAGCAGTATTACTCTTAATAATTTTTTAGTTTCTTTTATTATCAATCATGGCCTACTAAAAAATGATCTTTTAATATGTTTTTTTTAAATATTGCCTTAAATAATGAAAACAAATATAGAGTGTTATATATTTTTGAGAAGCTTATAACAAACCAGATCATATAATTCATAAATATACAGGGTGTTCCATTTAATAAACCATAACTTTAGTTCATATTTTTAAAAATATTATTTTCGTAGAATAACACAATACACCACTGTATTCTACGTAAAAAGTTCTACAATAAATAGTTTTCACCGTCTCAATATCTTTAACAATAACAGAGATACGGGGGGTGTCCCAAATTGCAAAATTTTCAAAAAGACCCTGTAGCTCAGAAACGAAGAGGGCAATGAAAATTTTGTTTACGGCATCTTCCATTTGACAAAAAAGTGGCACAGGTATGTGCAAACCGCACCCTTCTATCTTCACGAATAACGGAGATACCGTATTATTTCAACCAAAATGGGACACCCTGTACAGGATTCAGCATGAAATTCTGCATGTAGTGCACTATTTTTATTGGAAGGACTACGCGGTGTTGCTATTCTATTTCAAATTCACTAAAACTTTGGCTAAAAGCAGTAAGTCCAAAAAGTGGTCAAAACCTGCAGTGAATTTAACTTTACCAATATTAACTTATATTTTTTTCTTTATCAACCGACTATTTTTAATAAAATAAAAATAGTTTGGGTACCTAGGTCGACTCAGCCTTAAATCAATACTTTGGATTCATAATCCTCATGTAATAATAGGCGGTTGAAGCGTAGTGCTAATTGTAGCTATATTTTTTGTGCCAAATTATTAGTTCTTGACATTATCGATGTTGACGACAACATAGTTGACGCGTCAACAATTAAATTGTCAACGTGACATTCTATATTTATCAATCTTCATCTATTTTTATCAAAAACTAAATGTCACTCCAAATATGCTAATACCATTAATCAATCAATCATAATATATTCCAGATCGTTGACCTACTACATCAAAGCGTCCAACCTGTACAAGTACCATTCGAACAAAAGCTCCGGCTCAATCATACCATCACCATTCAATATCAGTCGCAAAGGAGAAATTTATACAGCGACCTATCTAGCGGAAAACAATCAGCATCGGTTTGTAGTTGACGTCATCGCTAGAGAGGACGGTTTTCCTGAACGCGAGGCCTACGCTAAAGTTCACGTAAGTCTATTTTTGTTTTTTTGGGGTGTGTGTTATTATAAAATTCGTCATATCTTGGCCACTTCGATATGTCTCTATATCTTGTTGGAATTGGCAAGTTAATACATTCCCTGGTATTAAATTCCGGAAAAAGGTAATTTTAATTGGATCGATAGGTTCGAAAATAAAATAAGGTTTTTGGAGAATGTAGGGATTTTGTTTGCCTGATATTAAATTGATATCGATACAGGTAGAAACAAAAGTAACAGATTTTGTCTTCCATTTGATAATTTTGGTAAAGAGAAGTATTTTAATAGAACTGGTTTGTTCAAGGTATGGATATTTGAACCCGAACAACTTATAAGAGTAATCATGTCGCGACCTAGAGAAGAAGTATACAAAGAAAAAGGGGAAGTTATAGCGGAATTGAGCAATGCTACGCAAAGCTTGATTATAATTGATGAAATCCGATTCCATATAGGAGATGGTGGAAGAAAAAACGAAGAATGGTAAGCATAAAGTTACAATTCAAGTAAAAAAATGTCTTATTGATACAGAAACTAATATTTTTTGGTATCTATGTCTCTACTCTATACAACATCCTACTTGTTCGTTAGGTGAATTAAAATAAATAGACAATAATTAAAGTCCGAAATTATTTTAGTATCACTAATGAATCATTGTCTACCACATTTAAATATGACTTGTGATAAAGTAGTTTTATTATGTTTGGTTAACACCAAAGATTTCAACTGTAAGAGTCTCAATTTATTTTTCTTTGGTTCAGTGAAAAATAAATAGCCTTACTGGCGTACAGTAGTAAACTTAAATCTCTCGGGCGCCACCTCTGTTATTTATAGTGGAAGAGGTCCACGTTTCGCCAATACCAGTGGAGATACCAGGGAGTGATGAAATGAAAAGAAATAAAACACACAGTTAACTATAACATAACATTAAGGCTTTATTTAATTAATTAACTATATGCTAAATACCCCAGGAAGTTTCACGACTTTAAATTGTAATGAAAGTGAAAGAAAATTTATAATTAAAGACTCGTAAAATAAAATTTACAACAACAATCGAGCACCTCTAGAGTTTTGACCGTATAATCTCGATATGCAACTCACTGTCCGATTTAATCACGCGAATTCAAAGCGCGTTTTTGACATGACGCTCTAGTAAATAAAACGACGCGAGTTTCTAACCGGCGTCTAACTTAACGGCGTCCTAGTAAACACAGACATGTACGTACCGGAGCGATATACTCTTTTATAACCCGACTTTCTAAACGTCGGCGACGTCGTTACAGACGTCCCGGGATAAACAAACGCGAGCCCTGGATCGTTCGCCGTAGAACGAAACGGCGTCCTGTGGGATAATTACGCACCCGAGCCCTGAATCGTTCGCAGTAGAAACGAGACGGCGTCCTGTGGGATAGATACGCACGCGAGCCCTGAATCGTGCACAGTAGAACGAGACGGCGTCCTGTGGGATAGATAGGCACGCGAGCCCTGGATCGTTCGCAGTAGGACGAAACGGAGTCCTGTGGGATAGGTACGCACGCGAGCCCTGGATCGTTCGCAGTAGAACGAAACGGCGTCTCGGTTAGTCGCCTGGATAAGCACAGTCCACACCGCCCGGTCAGGACCACCTCGGGATGTCGGCGAGATCCCACGGCGCTCCTGATGAGAATACGGGAACTACAGAACCAGTCGCGGGATGGACGAGATCCTGCCTTAGTTCCAAGAACATTCGCGACCCGTGCGTTTACTGTACCACCTTGCTCGTTATCTCTCTCACGCTCCTTCTTTCCCCTAACAAAAGAAATCGTTCTTCGCGTCCACGTGATCCGTTCAGCTCCCCAACCTGCTAGAGGACAGTTGGCCCTGAACGAACACAAGTTTTGCCGGCTTTTACGATCGCGCGCTTTCCTCGCGTCCACGGGATCCGTTCAGCTCCCCAACCTGCTAGAGGACAGTTGGCCCTGAACGAACACAAGTTTTGCCGGCTTTTACGATCGCGCGCTTTCCTCGCGTCCACGTGATCCGTTCAGCTCCCCAACCTGCTAGAGGACAGTTGGCCCTGAACGAACACAAGTTTTGCCGGCCTTTGCGATCGCGCGTTCTAACTATCTCTGTCTCCTTTATCCCTATAACGCGTCAAGGCAGTAAAGTAAACGGTATTAACAATAAAAAGAATACGACCTACTCTCGATCACTTTGGCGGTGGGTGCTTACCTTATACAATACGGCGGCAGGCGGCTGCCAGCTGGCAGCAGGACACTTGGCAGGGCACTCCGGACTCGAACTTCACTGTTCACGTGCGACCACACAACTAACTCTGTAGTGCCAGTACTGCCGAGGTACTCGACTACGGTCCCCTCCACTCAACCTGCACTGGTAGGGAGAGCGGCGCAAACGTCTCGGTTTCTCGCACCGAACCACGGCGACCAAAACCGATCAAAACTCTCTTACAAAACGGCAATTAAATATTTAACTTATTTAATTCAACAATAGAAACACTAATGAAGTTCATTACAATAATGAGTTAACAATAAAATACCCTGCCTGTCATTATTACAATAGAATCAAGTCTCTATTATTCTAGTATAATATTAATATAATGTACAGGGTGGCCCAGAAATTTTATGAACTTCATTACACAACATAAGTTGCGTTACTATTTTAGTTTTCTATGGAATATGTAAAAAATGTCTATACCTTTGTGGCGAATTCATCTCTTCAAAAAAGTTCTATGGGTATTTCGCCACTGTAGGAAAATCTACAAAATAAAATAGTTATTTTTTGTAAACACTGCTGCGTTAATCTAACGGAGACATATTGTCACCAGTGGTTTACTAATAAACAAACTTGCCTAACGAACAAAACAATTCTTAACGTTTCGGGAAGTATATATCTTCCCGTAGTAGTGATGGGTTGTTATTTAACTATCTGTTATTTTATAACAATTATTTAGAAATAACATAACGCAACCGTTACTACTTTTAAAAAATAACAGATATAAAATAACGATACGCAGAGATCGACCTTCGTGAAACGAAGTCGGCGCTCTGCACCGCCACGAAATTCGATCCTGCTCGAAGCAATTCCAAAAAACAACTAGTGTGGATTATTGATGGAAAACATGTTATTTCGACAACCATCGATACAGGCGGCGAAATACAACAGACAACGGAGTGGGGAATGCGCAACGGCGCGGCGCGGCGAACGTAGCTGCATCGGTCGATGGTCGTGTGGGGCTTGCAACAGCTTAAAAATAATAGGATATAAAAGAAGCAGCTTTTTTGAAACAGTTGCGGGCATAACGCCTGGCGGTCGAGATAACAGGAGTGGAAAAGGAACGCTGCTGCATCGGTCGATTGTCGATGAAGGCAAGCAACGGGTTGGAAAAGCAGTCATTTTAAATACGTTGTTTTTTAACCTGTTACGAGCATAACAGAGCGGCGGTCGAGATAATCGGTGTGGGAAAGTAACGCTGCTGCATCGGTCGATTGTGGATGGAGGTTCGAAACAGGTTGGAGAATAAAGCAACAGTTGTTTTAGATACATTGTTTTTCAATCTGTTACGAGCATAACGGGCGGAGGTAGAGATATTATGGCGCTGTATGTTTCAGTACTTACTTATTAAGTTTCAATATTTAGGTATTTATTTATTATGAAAAATTTTTAGAATAATATTTTAAGACTTTTTAAAAATGCATACAGGGTGTTTTGAAAAATCTGGTCATTGATTAATCACGATCCTGCTTAAAGCCTTTTTTTGACGTAAAAAGCTGATTTTTGGAAAACGGATTGACTTTAGGGTGTAGGGGTTCGATAAGAAGGGATTTTTCGAAACTCGAATTCTAAGGGGGTGAAATCACCCTCAAATATTAGAATAATTTTTTATTTAAAAACCGGTGCTGTTTTTCGGAAAAACTCTTAAAACACGCATATTTTATTTTGTTGTTTTACATATTTTAAAATTTTGTTAAAAATATATACAGGGTGTTTCATAAAATATGACCATTTAGTAATCACTGTTCTGCTTAAACTGCTTGACGTTTAAAGCTGATATTTGGCAAACGGATTGACTGTGGGGTTGAGGTTCGATAAGGAGGGGTTTCTCGAATCTCAAATTCCAAGAGGGTGAAAACGCCCCTCAATTATTACAATATTTGTTATTTAAAAAACGGGAAAACACTTGGACACGCATAATTTATTTTGTTTTTTTACATATTTTGAAATTTTTTAAAAAATCATACAGGGTGCTCCAAAAAGGTGAGTAATTGATTAACCACGATTCTGCTTAAACTGCTCGACGTTTAAAGCTTATTTTTGGCAAATGTGGGAAAATTTTATCCAGTTTGTATGTTAATGGAAATTCTTGCTTTGCTTTATCATCACCATTACAAATTATTAGTTCGGCGCGAACGAAGTCGCGGGTACACGCTAGTTTAAGTGTAAAATTGATTCGAACTCTAGTGTGTAGTTGGTTTACTTATGAAGAATATACTACACATTTTCTGATATTGCTATTTTTTTACCGCAAATGGTAAAATCATAACTAAGAGCTTCTCGCCCGTCGAGTGAGATGCACCCAGTACACTGCTACACAATTCAGGATCTACGCGGACCGAGGGACAGGGCGTAGGTAGATCAGAATATATAGACGAGCGGCGGAATTTTGGCTTTTTTATATCGCAATTTGTAAACAGCGCTTATTTGTAAACAACCACCGTTTTTAGAGAGGTATTTTAGATAACAATCGATATTTAGAAATGGTATGACACCCTGGAAATACTACCACCGAGCACGTTATTGTTGTAACTTGCCACTGCGTTAATACGCCTGGCGGTGACCGCCTCATACTCTTTCAGATATTTAGCAATAAAATAAAGAATCCTGTTATTTTTAAGCTGTTATTTTAAGCTGTTTTTTATAGATAACTATAACAGTTTCAACTGTTATCTAAAAATAACAGTTTTGCCCATCACGATCCCGTAGTCAGAAGCAAAAAAAAAACAAAGAACAAAGAAAAAAAAATATAATCTAAATGCAACTATTCGAGAACACTTTAGTTTTTTTCAAACAGATACGTCTATAAAAACCGTTGACGTTCTGTTAAAATGGCATTATATCAAGATAAACATCAAAATTAACAATTATTACGACCTGATAACAATTAACTTAATAAGATCAAATCAAAAAGCTTCAAACTTCCTGTATGATTATTTTTTAAATTGTTTTTAATTCTTACTTGTGTTATGCTTATTTATGTCATGTTCTTTATTAATTTGAGACAATTATAAAAAAACTGATTTTAAAAAGATTTAACATCCTGTAACTAATGTCTATATCTGTGTGGGGGATTCATCTCCCCAAAAAAATCCTATATGGGTATTTCGCCACTGCAAGAAAATCTACAATAATGACATTATATCAACTTAAACATCAAAATTAACAATTACTACCTGATAACAATTACTTATTAAAGTAAAACTAAAAAGCTTAAAACTTCCTGTATGATTATTTTTTATTTATTTTTTTTAATTTTTAGTTGTGTTATGTTTATTTATATTATGTTCTTTATAAACCACAGAAGCGATTACCATGCATTCTATACATGTACCTCTACAGATGCATGAGCAGTACATTTATTTTTATTATTGTATTAAAAAGCCTCTTTGATTTTTCTTTTAGAGGCTATCGCTTTTTTTATTATAATTTTTGCGTTATTATGGAATATGGTTATGAAAAAACTTGATTCTACTGTAAATTAACTAACATTTAATAAATTATTTACTTTGTTTGCAGGACGGACATGTACATATTAGCGATTGATCCAAAAACTCAAGCCATTTTGCCCGTGCCTGAGGTTCTCAAAGTTATCGATTCCAAATACGATTTCTTGAAAGACTACTACACAGGGTTTGCCATAGAAAACGTCGTCCCAGCTTTCGTTCAAGTAAGTATACTTAAATTATAAATATACGGGGTGAGTTTTAAATAACTGCAAATATTTTTACGGGTGGTATATTTCGACCCCATGAAAAAGTCGATGAGGTGTTTTTTTTTCTTTTAATTTTTTTTGTATGTTTTAGATCTTTTCTAGATCTGCCCGTTCATCACAAATTTTCGCACGAACCGTATAATTTTTTAATCTCTAATATTACCATGATTACAGCACTTAAAGGAATGCAAATACAGAAAAAATCCGGTGGCTCACATTTTTTTTTTAAATAAATCATTTTTTTTAATTTCCAAACTCGGTTATTTTCGACTAATATTAAAAATCTTGTTTGTTTATCTAAAAAAATTCAAAAGTTATAGGGACGTGAGACTTAAAAAATACCCTGTATTTAACTAAATAATATTGAGTAATACTAATTTCAGGAGAGAGACGAAACATTTGATCCAGCTTTGGCAGCTCTAATAGCACTTCTTATTGTGTTGTTCGTGGGAATAGTTTCCTTCATCATCGTTTGTTGTTGTCTAAGACACTGGGTGATTTCGCCCACAGACGATCTGAAGAAGAAGGATGCGCTCATCAAAAAAGCGATTATAGACGATTTGAATACTACGGAGAATCCCCTTTGGATAGAACAGTAAGTCGTTTTAAATCGTTTAGATTGTTTAGCTTGTTTAGCAAACTGTACATAATTATATAAACTTTAATTCGTGAGCTCTGTTTTTGATAACCTTTAGAATTTAGTTTGGTTTTAGTTTGATTATAATGTTTTAGAAAAATTTGCTTACAAAATTGTTTTACAGGATGTTTGAAAATTACGGTAAAAAACAACCATTCGATTAACGCTGTATCATAAGCCGAATACTAAAGATTATAAAAAACTGAGTTTACGAATTAAAGTTGGTATAATAACATTTAAAACCACTTTTTGTAAATATCAGGTAACGTTTTTATAACTTAACTTTTATTTTTAGAAAACTGAAGATATACGAAGAGCAAGAACTGACCATGCAAGTGTTTAATGAACCCGAACAAGGTTTAGCGAATAGAAGAGGCAGTGAAGATTATATCCCAGTAAGTTGAGTTAAATTATTAATAATAACTAAATTATTGATAAATTTGAACACTTACTCAGTATTTTAATTTTCTTTAATACTAACCTTTAACTACTTAATCCTAGAACACAATAGATTTTCGGGCAATACAGATACAAATAATATTTATCAGAATGAATATGGAGAAAGCTGTTTGTCAGTACTATATGATATAAAAATAATATGTATTAGATTTTTTTGGAATATCTCCAAAATTTTAACTTTTGGTCATTTTTTATATACGTATATATTACTTAAAAAAAACTTACACATACAAATAATGGTTGGCATTTTTCGTGAACGGGACACTACGAGCCTTTAGGATGTGTTAAGAAACTATCTGGAATATTTTAAAATCAAATGGATATTTAATAGACCTTTTGCCTCACCCCTCCCCGGAGGGATACGGTATTACGATAGTAATCTCTTTTTTTTTTTCAATACCACAGGAATGGTTGTATACTACAACACTTCTAATTTTCAAATTTAAAAAAAAAATTATGATTGAAATATTAAAAAGTAAAATATTTCCATTTTTATCATTTTGTCAAATAACTATCTAGTCAACATGTGTATTTTTTGTATTTTTGTCAATGATAATATGTATTGATTGTTTCGATTTCAAATAACTAGTATAGTAAAGATTTGAAGTTAACGTCTCCTTTTTGCTGCCAGGGTTAATCTGGACGGGGCCTACTTTTTTTACGTAGAATCCGAACCGCGGTCCTCGGCCATATCATGGTCAATGGCCTACCGACTTGGCAAATGTATAAATTGACTCTTACTCACGAGATATCCGATTTCATCCGGCCTCGAACCGGCGCGGCGTGAATGAGCAGTGTGTGTCAATAGATTTTACACTTTTGCTTTTTTTTGACAACAGCAGGATACAGAGTTTCGCACCGGTCACCCGTCCATCCACTAGTATCGTCTTACGTCGCTTAACTTCGGTGTTCTATGGAAACCGGTGTTCTATGGGAACCAATAACTAGTATAAATAACTAGATTCCAAATAACTTAATTATTTACAAAAAAAATGCGGAAATGTATATTTTTTATACGGTTTTTTTGATAGTGAAAAAATTTCTTGACGTCTCTTTGTGAATAATATAGACTTTCTATTTTTTTATAAAAATTCTATATTTAAATTGTGCTGATGATGCAAATTAATTTTGCAAATCGTCAATAAATAAAAAAGACTTCTGTAGAATTTTTTCTGCACACAATAATTATAAATATCAGTATCTATCAAGTTGAATTTATGACACAAATTGGTTGTATATTTTATCTCTCACTATTGTAATAACTTTTCCTCTGTATATAAATACAGGGAAAAAGTTATTACTCTTCAAAACAGTTAAAAAAAATATGTAGGTGGCGCTCCCTACAAATAGTTGGCGTCCTACTATCGAAATCAAAGTCAAAATATACACCGACAATTTTCTTCCAAATATCGACGTTAGATCAAAAATTATTTGGTAAAAAACGAAATAAAACTGGAAGTAATATGTATCTCCGAAACGAAGTATTTCGGAACATAAATTGATATTATACAAACTTCTTTACTTTTTTCTATCTGCAAAATATGTTGCCGAAATCTTCCGTTTATAATTCTAACTACCTTGTATAGTAGCTTTTAATTTTCAGAATATTCAGAATTAATTTTCGCTGTATTATAAGAATGCATGATACAATTTTTTCATTATAAAGTTGTTATTGGACAAATATTTTCTATTGATAAGAACTATTTTTATAATAACAACAATGCTTAGACTATAACTAACAACTCTACCCGGCACTACTAACCCCCCACTAACAGACTTTATCTCCTTTTGTTTTCACAAAGAGCTCTCAAATCTTTCTCAGGAGGACAACACATACGCGACCATACAGCATCCCCATAAGAGGACGGCATCGTCGCATGTAGCTTCGATGGGCGTGGCGGACGATCTGGGCGATTACGCCACCTTGTCGGGGGTGGTGCATCGTGGCCAAGCGGGCAGCAATAACAGCTCGATAAGAGGAGCTCCAAACGTAAGTATACCATTGGTACAAGTTATGCATAGAAATAAGGTACTGTTTCCAAGACTCGGTTATTTCAGTTCCGGTTTATCCGAGCTACCTGGAAGTGGTGAAAGACTAATCCAGACTGCGATTATTCGAGTCTAAAGTCAGTTGTATGGAGAAGGTATGGAGTCTAGAGGTGAGGAGAATTATCTCTTATGGGACTTTATTTGGAAAAGTTGTCACAAAAATGGGAAGAATAAGGGTTCACCAAATAACCACAGTGGCGTTAATGACGCATAAATCTAAAAAATGAAAAGTAACCATAGACAAGAGAATAAAAGTAACATAACCAAACATTATCCAAAAAAGGTTTGTTTTTATTTTTTTGAATATAAAACAATTATTTTTAAATATTAGAGGCCCAGTCTATTGCTGCCGAATAAAAATCTATAATTTATTTCATGTGACATGAAAAAAAAATTGTATTTTTTTCTAAACCCGCGCCTTCACGTCAAATATTTATCTCTTTTGAATCATCTCCTGTTCTAAAAAAAATCGGCGCATATTTTAAATTTTAGGTTTTTGCTACAGCAGCGCCATTCCCTTTTTTATGACCATTTTTTAATGCACGGAGATATTTCTCCTTACCTCTACACTCCATAGAGAAGGGTAATTCAAATCCGATACTCATGATTGGGATCTCGCAAACTAGGAGAGACGAGGATGCTTAAATTAGGGCAAAGTTGGACATTCTTCTTCTTCTTCTTCTTCCGGTCCCCTGTGTAATCTTGCACGTTGGGGATCATTTGTACACTCTTCAATTAATTGTATGGGTATTGTCTTCCGCCCGACGGAAAATGGTTACTGCGTCCGGTATTATCCGATAGTCAAACAGCACTAAACGCTATCAACTCAGTAACCATCATTTCGAAGATGACCAAAGAATGCATAGAGAAGCTGAACAAATTAGACAAAGAAAATAAAGTCCTCCTAGTCCATAGAAGGCAATGAACAAGGAAATGATCTAGCTAGAAAATATGCGAACATTCCACTAACTGGACCAGAACCGTTCTGTTTTCCAAGCGGAAACCAACTAAAAGCAGAACTAAACAACCTGAAATCCGTAACCTGGAATGGGAGTCCTCCAACGGTCTAAGACACTCAGTTAACAAAAAGTTCCTCAGAACTTACAACCGAGAAAAATCAAAGATTTTCTTTTATTTAAGTAAAAACAATCTTCGGATTGTCACGGGATTTCTAACAGGACACTATCTCCTCAACGAACACCTCAGTAGCCTACAAGCTGAGAAATAACGGCGAATGCAGGTTCTGTGGGGAAAATTGGGAAACACCGAACACCTTATCACTGAGTGCGCCGAGACACGACCGTTCGTGCCATGAACTTTGGTACGGCTGATAGCGAGAAGCCGTTTCAGATACTGACTTTTGTTAAAGCCCTGAGACTGTATGATGAGTTAAAACTCGTTATAACTCAAGAAAGGGGAACACACAATAGATCTGTTAGGTCGCGGTGATTAACTCCCTTCCTAGACATTCCACATTCTATCGCGTCCGGTATTCTTCTCCAATCCCTGATATTCCGAAGTGATGTTATCTTCCTGGCCCTCTAGTCTTCGACCCTCAATTTTGCCCTGCAGGACCAGTTTCGGAACGGCGCTGGCGTTCTATTTTCGTTCTTTAGCATAACCACAGAATATCTAGCTACGCAACAGAAGCCTCGTTACATGTATAAAATTGTAGGTAGCAAAAGGAGACAGGCTTTAAAAGTCTGTCTCCAAATCAGATATTTTGATGTGGTAGTTTCGCTACTACATAATAGAGGGCAATAAATTTAAAAGAATACAGTTTTCTACAAACAAAATTTAAAAGAATTTTGTGCAGTGTTGCCATTGTGTAATTCATATCGTAATACTTCCTGATAAAGCCTACCTGCAAATTTGCTACATCATTTAAACATATTAAAATAGATCAGAGCTGTTTTTTTCAGTTTGCCATGTTAGTTGGAATTAAATCATATGAGCTAAATTACAATTACTTCCTGACGTTTGATTGTATAATTGAATCCTGAATTTTCATTGTAATTCGGCGACAATATAATAAGTATTGTTCTACTATTATGATACCACATCCTGACGTTCGATTGTGTTCATACCAAGTTCATATTGTATAATAGGGAAAACCCGGCGTTAGCGATAGCTATGAAATGAATATCACTGTCATTTTATATGTAAATTTATATGGGAAATGTCATCGATCATCCTTTTCCAGCCAACTGGACGCCGTTTCTTTCAGAAGCATATCAAGTGATACCATAATATAGTACTATATTACGATACATGGCGTTCGATTGGGCTTAAACTTGGTATACTATATCTTCAGTGACATTGTAATATCATGGTACCATGGAGCATATAAAGTGGTACCTTTTATAGTACCATATTTGATGACATAGCAATATTAGGTACATGGCGGCAATAGGGCTTAAACTTGGTATACTACGTATTTTCGGTGATATTGTAATATGATGGTACTATGATGCATATCATCTGGTACCATAATATAGTACCATATTATGTACATGGCGTTCGATTGGGCTTACATTTGGCATGCTACGTATCTTCGGTGATATTGTAATATTATGGAACCATGGAGCATAATAAGAGGTACCATAATATAGTACCATATTACGACACCATTTCCTGGCGTTCGATTGGACTTAAACTTGTTATACTTCGTATCTTCGGTTACATTGTAATATGATGGTACTATGATGCATATAAAGTGGTACCTTAATATAGGACCATATTTCAATACCATTTCCTGGTGTTCGATTGAGCTCATATTTGATATATACTTGCGTATTTTTTGATGACATTGCATTATTATGGTACCATGAAACATATTAACTGGTACCATAATATAGTACTATATTACGTACATGCCGTTCGATTGGGCTTAAACTTGGGATACTACGTATTTTCGGTGACATTGTAATATGATGGTACTATGATGCATATAAAGTGGTACCTTAATATAGTACCATATTACGATAAGATTTCCTGGCGTTCGATTGTTCTTAAATTTGGTATACTACGGATCTTCGGTGACATTGCAATATTATGGTACCTTAAAGTATATCGAGTGGTACCATAATATAGTACACCATTATGATATCATTTCCTAGAGTTCGATTGGGCCCAAATTTGGTATACTTGCGTTTCTTTATAAAGATCTGCTTATATAATAATTTTAATTTATTTTACGAATTTTAATTTATTGTTCGATGTCGTGACAGCAACTTTTATGCAGAACTAATATATTATTAATTGTACCTGCGTCACTTTTTAAAATCTGCCTAGGTCTATATAAATAACGTGGCAAACGGAAGAAATTTGTTATTATAGTATTTTTTAGTCAGTTAACATTTTTTGTACTGCATTTTAATAAATTATTTCCATTATTATTAAACTTATATTTCATTACTAACGTTCCAGCATTAATAAATATCACTATCAATCGCCCTGTATATTATTAATTTTAAAGGTAATTAAATGTATTTTCTTAGTTAACATTATAAGGTATAGTGTATATTAAAAATGTATATGTTTTGTAATAATATACTTAAAACTATTTTAATAGCCAAAGGAATAATTAATATAAGTGTATCTGACGAAGGAAGAAAAGAAGAATAGAAAGAAACACATACTGCATTATACACAATAAAAAGAATGGGATGCCAATTCAAGTCTTTTTAAATCTGGCAACTGTGCATATTTAGCCGAGTTTTAAGGCCGTCGACGAGCCGTCGATCCAAAACCGAAAGTTCAAAATTTCTAATTATATTCTGATTATGATATTGTCGCGCCATCTAGTATTCTATTTGTGCAATTTTAGCTCTTTCATTTCGAGTATTTTTCTGTTGCGTAGCTAGATATTCTGTGGCATAACCAAGTCGCCTTTTTGTAAACCTGGCAGGGTCGCCATGTAAGAATGTGTTTAGGGTCATGTAAATGATTACTCGATTGCTGCCATACTAATTCTAATTTATTCTACCTTTGTATAATATAAATTTATAATGTTCGATTGATTATTGCTATGGTTGTAAAATATTAAAACTAGGTTATTTTAATACTAATTAATAAGCATTTGATTTGGTTGCACCACATGGGGATACGTTAAAGAGAGTGTTTACAAAACTCGACCAATTAGTGTCGACAACATGAGAGAAATTATTGTAGCTGCTTTTCGAGGTAGAACTCCACAGATGACTTTTAAAATGGAAAGGTCTTTTTGAAAAGACAACCATTTTATGCAGTTAACAAGAAAGGAAGCATTTGAGCATTTGATTTCATCTAGGTTTTGTTGCATAATTAAAGTTTATATCTAGTTTTAATTCTGTAATAATTAAAATATGTTTTAAACGTGTATCTTTTTATTACCCTTGAGTATTTTACTCTACAATTTTTAAACTTAAATTAACAAAAGGTATATCACCCAGCCACCTAGATTTTTTCAAATAATAAATATTTACGGACGCAAAATCATAAAAATTAAAATATTTGGGAAAATCTTTGTCTGAGGGGTAGGCAACTTTAATAATATTTTAAAGATATATGAATTCCCCATTGAACACCGGAAAAATATACTGGGTGTTCCATTTAAAGCAAATGAGTAACTTGGTTTTAAAGGTGACTAATGTTCCATATTAATTTTGTTTCACCCTGTATAACTTTTCGGGTGAAATTTCAATTTGGTTTAACATAATACAGTGGTTACCGTAATTAAATATCAGGCTATACAAGGTCAACTAAAATTTAGGTAGCTATTATCGAAATTTAAAATTTACTCTTTATTTCACAAAATGTGAAATATATCAGAATCCTTAGATTTTTGGTATATGATTCTTTAATAAAACTCACCTTTATTTTTTTCTAAAATCCGAAAATCACTTATTATATAGGATGTTCCATTACAAAAAAAAACAACTTTGATGTGTAACTTTTTTTGGGGACACCCTGTATAATTCTATATATTTTTATAAAATGCTTTCAGTTATCCTACGTATGCTGCCAAAATTTCATTTCAATATAAACTACCGTTCTCCTTGGAACTTCCGCGGCGTATGAGAGGCGCCACCATGTATTTTGTTACGCGTTTTATTACCTTTCTGGTCTTCTTATAATATCTTAACTGAAGTTAAAATATGTATATATTTCCATTTATACTAAAAAAATGAAAATAGTTATAACAATTAAAGCTTTATTCAGAACTTTGCAATTAGTGAAATAAATTAGTGGTTTCAATTACACTTCATACTTTTTAGTTTACGATTATTCACAATGTCTAAAAGCTTATCGTAAGCAACAGCTTGCGATTATCAGTTGTATGCAGAGAGAAAACTCTTGTGGAACCAATGATTCCGTTCCTCAATTTGATATATTATTGTGCAGGGACTTCTCAGAATAACCATTGTAAAGCAAATCCATTCTTATATCACTTGCATATGCTTTTTGCTCGATGGCATAATTTCTTTACTATTGTTTTTGATTGTCTTACTGATTACCTCACTGATAACTTAAATACTGTGCCGTGTACGTTTAAGAAAATATAATAGGAATATACACACACCGGAAAAATCTAGGGATATAATTTTATTAAAGTTAAAAATAAATGTTTTGAATAAACAACCACATATTTGTAGGCAGATTCTTTCTACTTCGATTGAAACGAAGTAGTCACACTAGTATTTCTAAATTTGGGATATTTGCACAGAAGTGTTTGTGCATTTTTTGTCAAATGTATAAAAAGCACCTAGCATTAATTGTTCGAATTTAACCTGTACTGGCTATGTTTTTATGATAACTGGAGAAGAATTCATTCAAATAACTCTGTTTAGTATTAAACGACATTATGGAACGTACACATCTTAACAGAGAGGGTCATGGGTATGCTCGAAGCTGGAATGCGCCAAATCGACGTAGCTAGAGCATTAAATACAACGCAAGGTGTAATATCGCGATTAAGTGCACGCTACCGTGAAAGTGGTAATGTAGCTGAAAGGCACACAGGGCGACATCGCATTACTACCCAGCAAGATCATTTTTTACAATTAAATGCTCGACGCCGACCGACTCTTACAGCACCAGAGCTTAGTTTAGTTCTCCAGGAAACACATAATATAACCGTTAGTCCTGACACTGTTCGCAATAGATTAAGAGAGGTCAACTTAAGAAGCAGACGCCCCTGGAGAGCTCAACCCTTAACGAGAGGAAATCAAGAGGTACGATATTTGTGGGCTCAAGATCATGTTCAGTGGTCGAATGAACAATGGGCCAATGATCTTTTCACGGATGAGTCACGCTTTGGAATTCATCCGGATTCGAGAAGGCTTACGGTATGGAGAGAACCGGGAAATCTTATTCGGTTGGATCATGTTCAGGAAGTGCACCCTTATAAAGGTGGAACAGTTATGGTCTGGGGAGGAGTCCAGTTAGGCCGAAAAACCGATCTCGTTTTTCTTGAAAGGTTTCTAACAGGAATCACATATCGTGATTTAATTCTTGAGCCTGTGGTGTTACCATATGCCAATGATTTTGGGAGAAACTTCATTCTCGTGCATGACAATGCACGGCCTCATACAGCCAGAGTGGTAAGTGAGTTTATCAATGCTCATCAATTAAACATCTTACCCTGGCCGGCACAATCTCCTGATCTCAACCCCATCGAGCACGTATGGGACGCGGTCCAAAGAAGAATTTTAAGAATGAGTATGCCTCGTGAAACTCGTAGGGATCTGGTTCGGGCCGTGAATGCAGCGTGGCAGGCTGTACCTCAAGAAGAGATCGACAACCTGATCAGGAGCATGGAGAGACGATATAGGACTGTAATGAACAGTAGAGGAGGCCATACCCTTTATTAAGTAAAAATGGTTTTATCTTTTTTTTTAATTCACAGTTTAGAATAAAAAAAACGTGTGTATTTTTTTGAGTTCAATAAAAATCAAGGTAAATTTGAAAAATTCGGTAAATTTCGCATTTTTATTTCCAATACGTCCTGTAAACTATTTGTTTATTTTAATTTTATTATATCAGAAATGCAAATAATAAAATTACTGATGATGGCTGGATAAAATTGTAATATCCCTAGACTTTTCCGGTGTGTGTATTTCCTCACACTGCAAAGTTTAAAACTGCAATGAAACAGAAATATTATGAAATGTTATTTTTGAGTTGTTAGTTTTTTTTCTACGTTAAATACTACTATTACTTAAATTAGTTTGTCCAACGAGAGGAACTTTGAGAGTGACGATTATATCTTTAATTTTAACTCATTGGAAAACGTAATTTTCTGTCGTCTGTCGAAATCTTTCCTGACTCATTGGATAGACTATACGAAACTACCACTTAATTAATTTAGGATATATATATATTTTTTCAGTACTACGAAGCGGCAATGGGTTTCCAGGGATCAACATTCCAAGTACCGGACAGATTGAGCGACACTGCAGGAAGTGAATACGGTTCAACGAGAGGACGTCCAAAAGATCACGCTCAACCAGAATACGTCGCCGAACTGATATAAAAATGTGTTTTTATGGCACTTTACAACACAAAAATAGCTCAAATATTAATTATTTTCCATAAAAGAATAAGTGTACTTTAAAAAGGCAGATTTTGTTCTTAGTAATACCACAGATTAGATATCCTATAAGTATACAGATAAAAATCTTGTCCCTAATTCGTGGTACGAAAATTGTTTTTTATGACGATGTGCAAACGAGTCAAATTTCCTGTGCGCAAAAATAAACTCGCGTAAAATAGCAATAAACAGCGTAATAGAGAGATATCGCTAAACCGAATAGCGTGCATGGCCGTTAATAAGGCGAGGTGTTATTTCCTTTACGTGAGGTGGTATTAACTCTCTTCATTTATAGTTATCGGATCGGAAAGAATTCTGATCACGTCGCGTCCGCTATTTAAACTTAACCTAACTTTGAAATTGTTTTGTTTACTAGGTATTTTAAAACTAAAGGGCTAAAGTGTTTATTTCCAGTGCTTTATTGTTCAACGTCTGCCAGTGGGTTTAGGGCAACAAACAACAAATTCTCATAGAAGGGCTAAGTCGTCATCTGCTGTAAACCTAAAGCCGCGTATAAATATACCGAGGCAAGTACGAGACAAACCCGAAACGAGTATGAAACGAGGCTATAGCAAATTCTTTCCAAAAGGCGTACTAATATGCCGAGACGAGGACGAGACGAGTCAACCTCAAGCGGAATTCGTCATATTATAGCCTCGAGCCGAGCGATTTAGCCTCGAGCAGAGTCCCTGCCCAGTCGAACGGCGTTGTCTCGCGGCTATCCATTTTCAATGGAGCCTTTGGCGAACCCACAAAATTCTTCATAGGGCTATGCGATACTGAGGCAGTATCGATATTTTGGTATCGGTTGTATTGACTATAAAGTATCGATACTTTAAAATATTGATAAATATATTAAAGTATTATTCGATACCATTCAATATTTTAAAAAATTAATTAATAAATTTAAGTATACTGTGTTTTTTAATTGGATTAGGATCGAAAAAAATCAACAGAAGTCCTTTGTTTTAAATTTGTCGACGTTTTGCAAAATTTATTTGCATCTTCAGGACACTACAGTTAAGAGAGCAAAATACAATCAAAAAATTTTAAAAATTTAACAAACAACTTAGAACACATATCAGTGGAATTCCACACATACACAATTGGTAAAACTACCCTAATGTTAACAATTAAATAAAATATATGTATATGTTATAAACTTAAGATCGCTTGTAAATAAAAATAATAAGGGATAAGGCCAAAATATAATCAGGATATTTTCTTATTCGCATTTAACGAAAAAAATCGACGATGGTGGTTTGTTTTATACAAAATGGACACTGTTTTATACAAAAAACTACACGGATCAGAACTAAATCAGTCATCAAACGATCTCAAATTAATAAAAGCACTTGGAAGAAAATGATAAAACACTTAACCTAGGGTTGGCAACTTTGAAAATAAAAAAATAGGGGCGAGAGGATAAAAAAAGGCACAGGCGAAACATTTTTGAAATGTCGCTCAAATGTCGAGAATTTACCAAAAAGTTATATAAACGGTATGCGATAAATATTTAAAATACACAAAAATATTTATACTCATAACTTATTAAAATAAAGCAAACCATTGTCAACAAAAATTTTTTAAGACATAAACTAACAGTAAGTAACAATTCTTTAAAGCATTGTGGCGATAAACGAATATTTTTTAGATTTTGAAGTTGGTATGTAACAAAGTTTTCAATACGTGAGAGAAAAGAGGACAATCAGATCAAAAAGAGGACTGTTTCTGGAATAGAGGACGGTTGGGAACCCTATTTTAACCCCCTGTGCTACGAATCAAAGCAGAATTGGATTGGTTCATATAAAAAATAAATCTTATTTTTACGTGAGGAACTTCCCCACGAGAGATGGAACATGTTTTTTGAAACACCCTGTATATGTTTGTTTAATTTCAAAATAGGTAAAAAAACAAGCTAGATAAATTAAAGAAATTCATGATAAATTTAAATTATATTCGGACTGTTTACATTAAAAAAACTGGAGAACGCCGACTGAGATACCTGGAGATAACGGCACGGCAGCGGCGGCGGCGGAGCCTTCTGCCAGTGCCGTTTTTTTGAGTCTTTAATTATTTTATTCAATAATATATTTTGTTATGTGGTTTGTATATCTATAAAAATTTTAAATAGAGTAACAGCGCTTTCAGATGGAGCGGACCGTACGCGCAGAGCGTCCGCATGGATGTTTTTTCAAGATAGCTCATCCGGACGGAGCATAGGCGACCCAGGTGAAATTGTTCATATACGCTCATGGTACTTGCTCGAAGTCGCGGACGCTCCGTTCCATTTGAAAGCGCTGTAAGATAAGACCTAATTCGACTTTATTTATTTAAGAAATTAGAAATTTAAGTAATTAAGATTTAAATTATTAATTTAAATCTGCATTTAAACGCCAATAACTAACCTGGAACATATATTGTAAATAATATATCTGCATTTCTTCATTTCTAAAGTTGTATATTTTTTCAAGGTATTCAATTCGCCACATTCTATGGCTTTCCATCATTGCAGCACGCTTATCAATAATTTTTAAAATATTATTATGTATATAATTTTAAATCTAATTCCCAGTTTTTTAAACCTTCGCCGTAATGTGCTTTCTGAACAGGGTTTTTTTAAAGCTCGGAGAGTTTTTTTTTAATTATTTCTATGGCGGGAACTTTATTATTTTCATATTTGCCATAAATTAAGTTTCTTAGTAGTCTGGATAGTTCAAATTTCTGGATTTTTCTATTTCGAATCGTTCCTTTCTTTGTCGATTCTCTTTATTTATGAGAGTACCGTAAGGAACTTCTGAGAGCATGGCCACCTTTTTCAACACACTCGATTTGCCTCTCTTATCTTCTATGTATCCTATATGTAAAGAAGCTTGTTATGCATCTTTAATTCCGTTCAGCAGAAATAGCGCATAATTTACGTTTGAGCCGTTAATAACTCGATGAAAGGTTCATTACGTTTATTCATTTTTCATAAAATTTTCATGTTTTTATAAAAGAAATCACTAATAAATCTTTGTATATGAGATTTACCTACTTTGGCTAACTTACCTATACTATTTTAGAGAAGACAAAATTGCATCTTTCTAGTTAGGATGCATTATTAACATTATTACAAATAAAGGAAAGAATATTTATTTTATATAAAAATGGGATGTGGAATCCGAGCCCCTTGAGACTCGAGGCAATTGTTCCGCGGAGCTGCGGTGTATACGCCACCGGTTAAATAGACGCCCCAATCCTTTTGATGGTTCGCCAAAGGCTCCGGAAAAAACGGAGACAACGCCGTCTGGCTGGGCATAGGCTCGGTTCGAAGCTCAGACCCCGTCCCAATATGACGAGTCAACCTCAAATTCGCTTGAGGTTGACTCGTCTCGGGTGTCTCTCGCACTCGTCTCGACATATTTATACGCAGCTTAAGACTCTTTATAGGTTCTTTAATATTGAAAGAGGTGGAATCCATATTTTGAGCCATATTTATTTAATTAAAACTAATCCCAACTACTTAAATATCAAATTACTTAATAAAACTAAAGCAATAATTCAAAACAATTCAAACATAACCTAAAATAAAAGATCTCGCCGGCGCGGCTCCTGTTGTCAAATACCCGCACATGCCCATTTAAGCAATTTTTAAACGTTATCAGAGGTTATTTAGAAAGAGCGATTGGTGTAATTGATCCGCAAATTACGTCAGGCGGTAACGTTATTAGCGGGTGTTGCGTTAAAAATTGACTCGCGCATATTGTAACCATGATAAGGTACGCGTAAATACTGGATGATGTTATTCGGTTTTCCGATATCTCTCTAATAACTGTGCCGGTCAGGCGCTGTGCACAATTTTAGAGGCCATAAGTGGGCGTGCTATGTGCGCAAACTAGTAACCTAACTAGTGCCCGATTCCGAAAATTGGAACCACGACAAACAATAAAGAAAAAACAAATATTATAATCTGTATAATCTGTGGTAATACCGTAATACCATAAAAATTGTTCGTGAAGTCTCATTTTGATGTTATCTTTGCTGTATTTGATCCATGAGCAATTTAGAGTATGGTTCGCATAATTTGATTAGGAGTTTATTTAAAAAAAAATAGGTTTATTTCAAAAATTATTATTTTTTAGTCTGTGTTCCATATAGGTACGTATTTTACCTGATATTTTTAATATTATGGATCCTGAAATATATTTTTTTCAGGAGTTTTTTCCTCTAATTTCAATGTAAACATTCAGAACGTTAAAATTAGTGGTAGTCATTTTCAATCAGTATAGATAAAGTTAACAAACTTTCATCTTTTTCGACTAAATATAATTCAAAATTTACAAATAATGGCATTATGGCCTTTCATTGTCATCCGCCAAGGGAAATTTTGGTTAGAAATAAAAAGTTTATTTAATAAGATAATTAGTAGGCATTCCCTATGGATACATCTGATTATCTCGAGTTACTTCTAGGATATTCTATTAAATTTAATTGGATTGATTGTATTTTATTAATATTGTGAACGATGGTAAACTCATGAGTATAAAGTATAAAACTACTAATTTAGAAAATTAGAAATCATTAATATTTGTCTTCTCGACTACTTTATCAAACTGTTCCGTATTTTACCAATATATTTCAGGAATCAATCTTTGCAATAGTTTAACCAATCTGGTTAACCTGGTTTTGCAACCGAATACAGCTTTAGAAAATTAGGAATTTTAGCGTTGGTTTGTTCCACGCTTTGAATAAGAAGACTAAGGAAGGAGCATAATGCTATCCATGTATTCATGCATGGTGGGCGGAAAAAGCACTCTAGGGTGGGGATCCTTGACAGTTCTGTTTGACGATTCATTTGACACATTTGAATTTGATTTGAAATTTTATTTGATTTGTCAGTCTTTACGGGGCTTATTTTATGTTATTTATTATTTATTCTACTACTGATAGTTGTATAAAGGTAGTAAATCTAGATGGAAATTGTGGCAGAACTTAAATTAACAGTGACACTATCGCGATTTATCGAAAAAGGCTCTAAAATAGTTGGTTGTGTAGCGTGCGGTAGATCTCGGCAAAAATCGAGTGAAATAATGGAACAACTTTTCGCTAGTAAGTGACTATATAATATACATACGTGTAGTAAACCGATCATTTATGAAATTCACTTAAATTAACTAATTATATATTTTTTC